ACTGCTTGTGGTTTATTCAAACAAATACAGAAAGCTGGGTCAAGTTGTGGCTTCAGCGTGACTCACAGAATATAAATCAAACTCGTATGCCAGGCCAAATTTAAGTGGGAGTTACAAAAGCCATTCATATTAAAATAAAACCCCAAACCAATAACACGTTAGTCCATCAAATCAACTCTCTGTCTTCCCTACCCAGTCCGTAGCTCTCTGCCACATTCCCATTGGTTCCTCCAGAAATATCTAAAAACAACTCGGGAATGTATAGTTTCATTTTTTTATCTAACTCAGCAATGTCCTTCATCGGCTGGTCACTGTAGATTTTAGGATGTTACTTAGACGGCATTTTGTTGGGGACTATTTTAATGCATTTGGTGCTCTAGTGAGGATTCTAGTCAGGAGTCCAAACTGTGTTTTCATGGTTACGTGACCGGTGTCTAATAGTCTTTGACCAAAGAAGATTGTGTGTGGGCTCAGTACTTCAACCTTCCATGAATCCGCTATTTGCTTGAAAAGGACTGATGTGGCATTTTTCTTTCAGAGCGAGGCTCAGACCTTAATGGAGCACCTTGAATCCTCCCTCGCTCTCAGACCCCACAATGCATCTACTCAGACTCGCTTTGTCCTCCAATCCCTGGCGAGCGCACACACACACACACACCCCCCCACACACACACACACACACACACCCACGCGCACACAAACCCTGTATGCACGTGTTTGCACAGTACACGAGGATCACACACAGCGCGTACAGAGATCACACTGTGAACCAGAAAGGAAAGTGACACAATAGGGACAGAAATGCATCTCATTTTCGTCCGAGGCGGACCTCTGCCTATCGGTTACGGTGGGGCTCAACACTTGCTCTGGGGGGGTGGGGAGAGGGGGGGGCGTTGGAGGCATTTTCACAAGTGGACCAGTAACCCACTTTAAATATGAAGATCGAGCACACTGCTGACTGCACAGGACCGGAAGAGACAGGGGCGGGTGGGGGGGGGGGGGGCGCCAAGATAATAACCCAGTTATTTTGTATCTTGGGTTTCTTTTCAATGTGCTTTTCACAGACTCTTGTGTGAGATAAATAAAGAATCTCAACAATAAAGAGGTTCTCATATCAAAGTGAACAGATGACTGTGCTCACGTTGTATTCGTTGTCGCATTAGACTGTAGCTTAGCATGCAGAATGAAGGCAGGGGGAGATCTTCAATCTCCAGCGCCTCTGAAACCAAACTCGTACTTTCGGCCACCACGATGGAAACTTTCCTCCTCCCGAGGCGTCGTCTCTGTGGGGACATCTTGCTGTGCTACTGTACTCCAAGTGGTAGCGTTTAATGTCCCGGAAAATAAAGGCCGAGAAAGGATCTAACGCAACAGAAGGGAATATATGAACGTATAACCAGCGGTACAGGCAGCTCCAGTCGACCCCCACTTTGTTTTAGCTGATAGAGGTTGTTTTTCACCAGGAAGTGAGCCTCACTGTGAGATACTTCTAATATTGAATTAATGGCCAATTAATACAGAAATAGGCTTAAAACAACAACAATTTGTGCTCTGGTTCAACAGCCAGCAGCACATTAACAGGCAGAACTGCAGAGAGGTTACTCTCACATTAAAAGGAGGCAAAGGGGGAAAAGGCATTCTTTGATACTGTGTGTGTGTGTGTGTGTGTGTGTGTGTGTGTGTGTGTGTGTGTGTGTGTGTGTGTGTGTGTGTGAGAGAGAGAGGAGAAGATGACTTTGATTTAGACTAAATCCAGGTGTAGCGTGGAAATAAGCCACACTCCTCTGACTTCTGCCAGTCGCTGTCTGTCTTTGTGAATGTACTTTTGAGTGTTTCACAGAGATTCATTGCAGCACTTCTCGACTGAACTACCTCTTATTTTTTTTTACAATGACTTGGATGTCCCAGATCTGTCTTTGACTCAACATCATCTTCCAGTGTGTGGATCTGTGTGTGTGTGTGTGTGTGTGTGTGTTTTTCCTGCGTGTTTCCATTGCCTCACATTATCCTGCTACAACATTAACATTTCATGGATGACACTGGAGGTTTATCAACTGGATCTCATCAAAATTTCATTCCTAATTACGGAAGCAGAGCTGGAGGGAGATTCCCCACCGCTACCCCGACTGAACCCAGCCAGTGGCGGGAAGAGAAAAACAAAAAACAGATAAATCAATTCCCACCAGCAAGCCCGTTCAAGATAACCTAAGACCACAAATAAACACCCGTAATGATCTGGAGATAAGCATTCCCACCAGAGTCTGTCCACACAGCCTTTAGAGACTTCATCTCAAGCACAACCCCACTAAAAATCCCAACGCGAAGCTGTGACCAAAAGAAGGGCTTTCAGGCTTCAAGGCGGCGTCTTCAAGGTGCGCAGATGTGTTATTAGCCCTTAATAGGACTTCAAACCAGCCCTGTAGTTGAGGGAGAAATGTACATTACAGTACATTAAATTAGATAGCGCCAATTTGTGAATTTCAGATTAAGGCACAAATAGGTCAAACAAAAATCTAATATATTCATATCCATGAATCATCCCAAGAAGGTCCTAGATTTATATTGAGGAGCACAACCTTGCCACCTGTTCTACGTTGAAAAATCACGCAATGAATGATGGGTAATCCCGCCGGGATGAACTGGGCTACTGGCTGATTCAGGGTCAGCATCCTCCGACATGTCGGACAATTAATGGTCAAACCACACGAGACATCACGTTTTACACAACACATTGTCTGCGCCACGGACATCAAAGGACAGCCACCGTTATTAGCCAGATTATCATTACTTACCGGTGCCCCCGGTGCGCGGTGTCTCTCAGGTGCGTGTTTGTACCCGATTTAAAAGCAAAACACGGTGGCGTGAAGTTAACGTAATTTTTTTTTTAAGTCAACAGCTTGTGAAAGTCGCGGAAAGTATCCTAACATGCACGTAAAGACACACGATACAGTAACGTTACTGTACACGTCTTCCGATGCGCCGCTTCCACCAGGTGAACTCCATCGAACTGATTGCGTCGTGACGTCACGTCCTGACGTTGGTTTCCGCACTTCCGTCGGTGGCCACCTCGCTTGGTAACGGAACAAGAAACCGGACGACAACATGACACACACGGCTACTTTAGTTAGAAAGGTTGGGATGATTTACCCAACCACTGCAGACGAAATCATACAACATGTAAAAAATGACGTTTTTAAGGTATGAAAGTTCGTTTTTGCATGTTTGCAAGAATCTAAGGTAACGAAGGTGAGAAAGAAAAGGTTTCACTGAGCCGCAGGAAGGAAACGCACCCACTGTTTATTTCAGAATGTGGAGCCCAAATTGTTTCCACATGTAAACTATTCCTCTGATGTTGCTTGATTTTTTGCCCAGTATTGTAAATGAAAAATAGCTAAATAAATACGGCAGAGGTGAATTACGAAAATTGTACAAAAAAACTAACTAAACCACAGACAGGATTTGGAAAATCACTACACATCTTTTCTTCTAACAACAGGAACTTTTCATTCAGCCAACCAGTGAAACCAATCGATGAGTGAGCCGTCTGAAGAGGAACAATCCCTCCTCCAAGGGTTTTGATTGCACCTGACGTATGGTGCAGGAATGACATGGGTGCAATCAGAGAATGATTTGGACTCAAACCACCACCCTCCATCCCAGAAAGGTCCTTTTAGACCTTTCTGATAAATACAGTGTGACAGTCCTACAACATGCTTTTAAGGGAGACACCAAAAGAGCCCCACCCTTATATGTTTCCATTTCTTGATCGCAATGTCTTGAAAAAAGAGCGATATTAAAGCTACGCCTCCCACAGTTTAACGGAGGCTGTCACACAAAGCGATTGGTCCATTATGCATTCAACTAGCACATTGATAGATCCATCCAAACAAAATGAACTATCACACTTGCTTAGTACTTCTCTTTGTTCATGCCACATTTGAGAATCACTATGATCCACAACATTTATTGTAGCCCTACTTAAGGATCTGAGTACATCCCTCTAAAGGGTTTAAAAATAGCCTATTTTAGTTTACTTTGCCTTTAACTCAAGCTGCTCCTGTGTAGATATTGAAATCACAATTACTCCAGCATTTACGCCACCTAGTTATCGTTCAGATCGGTCTAAATCACAAAATGTCAAAAGACTGGGGACTGGATGTCCCCAAGCTTCCTGGAGCTAAACCGCAACAATGCGCCCCTTTTGATTCTCATGTTGAACACTGAGAAACATCTCAAGTCAGTGGTTCAGTCCTGTCATCGTTTTTGAAGATGATTGCCAAACTGCATCGCCTGTTGTCTTTCCCCCATTAGGTCACTGAGCATCTTCACTGTCACGGCTACGCGACTATAGATTAGTCAGATCTGTTTTACATCTCGTCTCAAAACTCACTCGTCACTGTTGTTTCTTTACCCTGATTTGTTTCAACGTTTGCCTGCAATTATTTTATCAATTTAACCCTAATTACAGAAAACCGTCATTGATTATCAGATAGTTAAACGTGAAGATACGCTGCTGTTCTTTGTTCTCTAAATATGTTTAGGTTGGGGATTGTTGTACTGCTGGTAGAAAGGAAACATCCGAAGATGGATCTTTAGACTACAGAAAATGACAAATTATTATATTCTGTTGTTCTATTGCAGAAATCTAGAAAATAATCAGCAGGGGAATTGATGAGTTAAGCAACTGTTGACCGCTATCCAAGTTCATACATGACCATATACTGCAGATAATGTTTTCCTGTAAACAAACAACTTGCTCTTCAAGGTGTAAAACGCTGGAAAACACATGCAGAACGTTTCCATTTGACTGCAGCCACAAATCCTTCACTTATTCCATCAACAGCGAATCGAGCGCTTCTCGTTTCAGCACCGTGGACAGCTCCACTCCTCAGCAACACCAATCAGCACGCCGGACAGCGCCACTAACTCCAATAAGTTGTTAGTCCTTTTTTAGTTTTTTTTGTCACCAGTCTCCACACGTCAACGCGACCCGCCCTCACCTCCGATGTCCGGCCGCAGGGTCTTGTCGTATTCCTCGAGCAAACTGTTCAGTATTCGCGTGGCTTCCTCCTGATGTGACCTGGGGACCAGCATCTGATTGACAGTGGTGTCGTTGGGATCTTCGTCGTCGGCGCCATATTCCAGTAGATCAGAACTGTGTGAGTGTGTGTGTGTAGTGGAGGGGGGGGGGGGGCAAAAGGGTAGGGTGGGTGTCGTTAATCACGCTGAGGAACTGCGCCCCTCCTTTGATAAACACCATTGTCATAAGAAAAACAACTTTGTCGATGCAGCAGTTACGTATAATGATTGTATTTGAATGCCTTGAGTTTGAATGGCTTATTATCAGAGCATAGACTCTGTATCTGGCCACAACAGTCATTTTTGTGTGCGTGTACATGTGTGTGCCTGTGTGGGGAAAGCCCTAAGAAAAAAAAAATGAAGCCCCACACGCTTTTTTTTGCCAGAATCATTCACATGCGATGCGTAATTGCCCCCCACACAGAACTGTAAACATGTGAACGCTCACAGCTTCAAATAAAAACCTCTCCCAGCTGTTGATTGTGCGAATAAAATTGTTTTTGAAAAAGAGGCACAAATCTGACTCACCGAGCACATTGAACGAGAAGTATGAAGTGGATGACCACAAACTTGATTGTCATTTTCCCATGCGTGGATCTCCCCCTCCGGATCACAGGAATATGTGGATGGAAATCCCGGCGTTGTGCTGCTGCGAGAAAGTGCCAGTACAGTATAGGTGTGTGACCATCAATCCGTGCTCTGAACTTCCTCATCCGCCCACACACTTTCTTCTGCATGTCATCTGCGACCCACACAGCGCTCTCTCTCTCTCTCTCTCTCTCTCTCTCTCTCTCTCTCTCTCTCTCTCTCTCTCTCTCTCTCTCTCTCTCTCTCTCACCCCACCCCCTAAGCCACCCGCCCTTTCCGATCCTCCGTGCGCCGCGCAGGGGGTTCCTCCAGGGACGCGCTCGTGCGATCGATCGATGTGATCAGGTCAGCGGAGGGGAGTCGGAATCGGACGGTATCCAGCAGCGCCCTCTTCCCTTCCCTAAACGCCTCTGTAGACAACAGTGGTGTTTGGTGATGCTGGAGGTGGAGAACCTCAGCAGAGGAGCATCTTGCATGACTCATACACCTGGCTTAGTCTACACGCTGGTGATTTTATTATTTCAAGAATCGTTCTGCATATTTAGCATAACATCTGTTTTTATTACCGTTTTATATATTCCAATTAATTAGGCAGTCAGTTCATTGGGTAATAAAGGTGAAGAAAGAGTTAGATTACTGTTTTAAAAAATATTCCGAGCTTCATGCACAATTTGAAAGGGTGTGTTGCATTACGCAAATCATATCAATAATGACATGAGCATAGCATTATGCTACATGCACGCATCTTTACACGTAAATTGCAGTGCTGCCGCTCACCTGCACTCACACGAGGTAATAGGCGCGCGGTGGGGGAATGAGGCGGGATGACGGGGGGGGGGGGGCAGCTCGCTGTGCAACCCCGATGCACTCGTGAGGCTTGTGACGCGCACACATGGCGGCGCGCGGAGAGGCCTGCGCTGCCTCCTGGTGGCTGAAAATGAGACAGAAGTACCTCTCCAAGAGGGATAGCCGGTGATGGGATATATTTTATATATTCCCCCCCAAAAAAACTTGTGTTTACGTATTAACAATGATTTCCCTCCATTATGCATGTTGTATCTAATGTTCCTGTTTGCTGGATATAATCTGAGACGAGAAAGAACTGTCATCTATATTAATCTAGTCACTCGTACATCAAAGAATAGATTCAGATAATGACATGAGAAATAGCGAATAAGCGGCACTACAGCTGAGGCCAATTTGTCTGGAACATTTCTGCATAAAGCAACGCCACTGGCCATTTTACACATAGACAATACATTTATCACGTTAGTTTCATAAAGCGGTTAAATACCAATAGCCTATTTCCCTGCATGTATAATCATTAGTCAATGAGGCTACACATGACTTTATACTATGAAGCAACTCTGTCCAAACGCTTGATAAGGAATGCCATGTTTGTTCTTCCTTTTTATTCAGTAATTTTAAGTATAATACATAAAACATACACAGTACATAAAACAAGGGGTGAATAACACTAATACATTAAGCTCTGCTAGGTACAATGGCTTTTCTGCGTTTTCCTTTGCAAAAAGTGCAAATATCTTCGTTGAATGTTTCCTCCTAAAAAAATAAAAACTACGTTTTTCATTGATTCTGAAAAGCAAGAGTAACTACATCCACGTTCGGTGGCCTCCTGGAGCCTTACGGGCATGGACGACTGGTAAAGGCTCTCTAAGACGACCGCTGCGTGCGCGTTACATTCCCCGGTCCGAAGGGCCGAGTTCAAACCACCAGTCGGCCTCACGCGCCTGGCAGCCAGCTCTGGCTAAAGCACATCTATCAATCCTAAATTCGTCCCCAACACGCAGCAGCCACAGCTGTCCAGACACTACCGAGAAGAAAAACAAGCATTTGTCATCGGCTGGTCCGGCCACGGCTTAAATTGGAGTGAAGCGCTTTGCCGTGAACCCCCCCCCTCCCCCCCCCTCCCCTTGAATGGGTGAAAGTAACTTAAGCGGAGCTAAATCCCTTTTCTAACAGATGTATGGCAGATGAGTCTGTCACAGTGAATGAAGGAAGGGGGGAGGGGTGGGCAATCGTTTCTTGGCTGGCAGTAGAGAACAGAGTGGTTGGTTAAATGGACGGATGGATGGGGACACTCATTCCATCAGTAGAAAGGAAGATTAACGGACAGAGCAGTAGTCATTACTGAAAAATAAAGTCAAAGTTTTGTTAACTATTAAAAGTTAAGCTTCAACTTTTGTCAGGGGGCAAAGTTTTGTTTGAGGGACAGATTTGGGCTCAGGGGCCACTGTTTGCCAACCACTGGTCTACCGTCACGCTGCTGTGTGGAGACCCTGTTGCTGAGACATTTGAAAGATCTCTTAATGAGCCATATTAAGAGGATATTGAGCTGGGTAACGTTGAGGCCTGGCGGCACAGATACGCTCCCCAGCTAAGGCGAATGGGATGTTTTAGTGGAGGGCAGACGGACTGTCAGGCCGTCTGTAGAGGAACAGATACAGAGTTTGGAGGTCTTTACCGGGAGGGGGGTCTGTTCATCTGGACTGGCTGCCATGGCGATCACCCTCACAGACAAATGCATGGATGTCTTTTCCCACTGCACTCCATTGGACTTCCTTTGTCACTGCTGCTGAGCCGTGACGTACAGAAGGTAGATGCAGATTCAACATCAACCCAAACCACACAAGAACGCTGCAGGAAATAATGGCGCAAACATTCAAAACGAAGAGAGAATTTTGAAGCTGACATTTTCCCGGAAGTCCCGGTTTTCACAAAGCGAAGCGTGTGCAGTGGCAGCGGGTGTCACCTTTATTTGATTCATTGACGAGATTCCCAACTGCACTATTTATATGCGCAAGATCAAAGAAACAGTGACTCTGCGGCAACTCTTCTGCTGCGACCGTGGGTGCGTTTTGTTCCTGAGTATGTCTCACCATGGTCCAACAAGTCACACGGGCGGCGCTGTTGGCGAGCTCCGGCCAAAACGCCACAACGGGTCCTCATTGCCATCCAGTTTAGTCAAGGTAGAAAGAGACAAGGAGAAAAAAATAGATGCAGAGATTCAAAGCCCCACGTCACGTTTTTTAACGAGCAAGAAGAAGGAAAAAACGTGAGTACGCAAATAGAGCAAAACACATCGGATGGAAACGTGACATTAGACGTTTTTTTCTCTAGAGGGCGTAAAACTAAACACAGGAGTGTCTTTTTTTTTAGTTATTGACATGATTCCCTTACAAGATCCAAATCGTTTGAAACATTTTGAGCTCGGTCAGCTAGCGGTTGCGAGTCTTCCGCTGTTGGGGATGGAGATTGGACAGTTGTATTTTCTAGTTTGAAAATATTTAACTAAGCCGGAATTTATCAGTAAATTTGCCCCACGTAAGTTGTAAAGACTTTGTGCCACGGATGATCCCAGACGGCAGTCAGACTCTCAGTTTGACGGTTTCGCCCCAACTAGAAGCAAGAGGGACGCTTGCCTAAGGGTTTTCGCAGCCTCAGCAACGCTCTCCAAGCTCTCACTCTGATGATGTGACACAGCACTGGTCTCTCAACTGTTCATATTAGTTTCCTAGATGAGTGATTCTCAAAATTCAGTGAAACCACAGGTATCCAATCCTAAATCTGTCCTGAACACTCCGACCACAGCTGACCGGTCGCCCAAGTGGGAAGGGGCAGTTTTTTTTCTTTAGATTGTAGGTAAGCTGCACCTATATGATAACTTTTATATATTTTTTAAATGATGAATAGTCTCTTCCTTTAAAAAAACCCTGCAATTGTAAGAATTTCTTTCCACCTTCAGGTAGCACTCAATGTTTTCGGCATTTACCACCGAGGCTGGCAATGCCGATGCTTTCGGGGTAACCAGGCTTGAAGGAAAAGGCGTCGAATCTTCAAGTTAAGACGGACAAAGAAAAACTCGACATAGTTCGCAATAGGATGCGCAAAAGAGTGTTTTTGTTTGTTTCGAAGGGATACAAAACTGAATAATTAATGCGCTTGAAGCAATAATCTCAAGAGATGCTTCTTCCACAGTGGAATTAAGTACATTTTCTAAAGCAACTGCTGAAAAGGATTCTATAATGCAAAGTGTCTCAATAGCATAAGTCCAGTGGCTTGCAAGCCCTCGTGATAAGAATAGTTTAAATCTAGGAAAAATTGCAAAAACGAAAAAAAGCCTCTGTTTGCTTTCATTTAAGGGAGTGGCAATGAAGCGCGCTACCACACTTAAAGCAGAGACGGACACATACATGGTCGCTATTCAAGACAAAGTCTGTGGTTTTCTTTTGAGGAGAGCGTCATGCAAACTGCAGCAGGATGGATGAGAAAGAAGCAAAAAGAGCCGCCCTCTTGTCGACAAAAGGGTCCACTCAAAGTGCTTGACTTAGATAGTTGAGTATAGTTTTGTTTTTGTTCTTCAAGCGCAGATATTTGTGTTTTATTTTTTTCTAGTCCGGGGCAGACACCTCACAACAACTCCTTTTCCTTTGGATCCGAACACTCGCAAATTACGCAGCAAACTTAATCCCTCACAAAACAAAAAAGATGAAAGGAGATTACGTTGAGGTCACTCCTTTCACCACCGGTTCTCTGTTCAGGTACGTAGCCCAGTAGACAAGGTTGAAGGTTCCAAACAGGACGGGGAACACTATCCGCGACATCTTGTCGATCTTGCTGACGCTGTTGTAGGTCTTCTTTGCGTCCACCATCTTGGTCTCGGCGGCCCGGAGCTGCACCGTCGTCGTGTTAGAGATGGTGGCGATGGACACGTCCTTGGTGAAGTTGGGTGTGTAGTTGACGCCCGCCGAGCACACGTTGTTGGGCTTTTTGGACAGCACCATAGGGTCTCGCTTCTACAGTGGGACGGATCACAATGGGGGGGGGGGGGGGGGGGTGAAATCGCAAACAGGCCTGCGCATTAATGCGCATCAATGCCTTTCAAGCCTTTCGAGGTTTTACCGAAAGGGTAGAAGGGTCTTTTGGTGGTGGTTTAAAACACTTTCATGCGAACTGGCTGGCAAACGGGGCTGGGCGGTTAGCTTAGCCTTACATAAAAGGCTGCACACCAGGGTCAATAACTAAGCTGGGGTCAAAACCTGCCGCCACAAGGTGAGCTTTAGAAGAGTGGCCATCTTATCAAATCGTATGCTAAGCTAGGTTAACCATCTCCTGGTCCTTGCTACGTCTTTAGCATATAATGAATGCAATTTTTGAATGAGATTGATTGAGATGTTTCAAGGTTTTATTCGTTCATAGCAACTTGCTTCTTGTCGCTGCCTTTTTATCCGAGCCGTCATTGTAAATGAGAACCGGCTCTCGACTGACTTTGAGATTTAACTGCTTAAAACAAAGTACACATAGTGATAAAAAATGCAGACATGATATTGATGTTATTGATATTCAAATCTAATCGGCAAAAGCAAATTAGTGTTAAGAAATTTCAAAATATTCCTATAAGGTATTGCAAAGGATCGTACTTGTCAATTATGATATTATAAGAAAAAGTCTGTGCAAGTTGATTTTTATGGCTCTTCAAGACGTTTTTGCACTTATGCGTGTAGCGTAGTGGCCCCTGGCCGTACCTTAGGGTGCTGGGCCTCCAGAGCCTTCTTGCCGTCCCAGGCCCAGCTCCTCTTGGTGAAGTAGTTCACAGTGGCGAACTCGATGAGGGCGGAGAAGACGAAGGCGTAGCAGACGGCAATGAACCAATCCATGGCCGTGGCGTAGGCCACTTTAGGGAGGGAGTTCCTGGCACTGATGCTGAGGGTGGTCATGGTCAGCACAGTGGTCACCCCTGGGTGCAAACAAAGGCAGTGACAAGTTTAAATTGAGTCTTCACAGTCTGCCATCGCTCAACAGAGGTGGGCGCTTTAATAACTCTAAACTGCCACCCAGCCCGGTGCTGCTGTTATTGTCGTCCCTCGTGTGACATATGCACGACAGGAATGCTGTTGCCAAGGCAAATAAAACACGGAGAAGCAAATGAGTACATCAGTCAAAGAGAGGCTCCGCTCACCAAAGACGGTCCTCGCCGGAACCGATTCTCTGTTTAGCCAAAATGACACCTGGGACAGGATTACAGTCATGAAGCAGGGCATGTAGGTCTGGATGACAAAATATCCAATCTTCCTCTTCAGGTAGAAGTGGGCCATCATCACTGTGTACTGCCCTGAGGGGAGGCGGGGATTTAAAAAGGATATGAAGTTAGAAACAAACAATAAACACCACGTCTGCTTTGAGGCCAACCCCGGCAAATATTGCAAGCACATAGTGGTGTTGTGAATATATGATTTGTGACCCGTCGCCGCAGCCACACCGGACGGAAGGGTCATTACCGGAAAAATGACTTTTTATGACCATAAACCGGAGAGCTTGAAAAGTGTTCATAAACTCGTCTCTTCTTCTCCCACAAAGCACCTGTCCTCATGCCCGCTGTTTCATTATGAACGACACTACAAACTGCAGGTTGGAAAACGATGCAGATATCTGTGCTAGAAAACACAGCTGGTGAGAAGAGAGCTTTTTTTTCTATTCACTTGAACGTAAAGGGTCAAATGAACCCGACTTCAGATCCATTAGCGAACTGAAAAAAGCCCACGTTTATAATTGTAGGGACATGACAACAGATTATTTTGTTGGTTAATGTCGGAGGTGAATTCAGAGAAAGTGTAGTCAATGAGAGGGGGAGGTATAGAAAAGAGAGGGAGAGAGAGAGAGGGAGAGAGAGCGTACACGATATTCAGTTAAAGAACTGAAGATTGCATTTGAGGCTTTAAAAAAATCCTCTCACCAGTAGCAGTTTGTGACCACAGGCGCTGGTGAACTATGAAAAAAATCCAATGACTATATTCCACACACCAGGGCGCATGTACACAGGCTCTCTCTCCAACACACACGCACGCAGAGTAAACATGAGGCTTTCTCCGGGCAAAATCGGATTTTTGAACCTCGCTAATCCCCGGTTACAATCTGCATCCTGCCATCAGTGAGAGAAAGAGAGGGAGTGTGGATGAGAAGAGGAAGGGAGGGAGGAGGGGTGAGGGTTGGGCTGAGGCTTGAGGCCCTGAGCTCCGCCCACTCCGCCCTGCCAATCCAGCGCACACACACACACACACACACACCCTGCAACACGCATGAAGCATGATTTTGTAACTGCTGACACACACTCTTGAGCCACGGAGAGGGACACTCGGCTGTCTGCTACTCACTGGTGGGATGGAGGGGGGGCAACCGTGTGGACACTTTCTATCATTTACGTTGGCTTATCTTTTCGGTCATCTGACCGCCGTTTGTGGAATAATGACTAGGCGTTCTTGACGGGACTGGCGCCAAAAGGGGAGAAGGAGAAGATTCCGGCAAATGCACTGCGGCCCCACCGGCCTCCGCAGACAGCAGAAGGCCGCTCTCTCGGCGCTCCCCGAGGGTGAAGACCCGGCCAAACACGACCCTAGCGCGCCCCCCCCACCCGGCCATGCCTCGACCAGGGGGTCCACGGCACCGATAGTTCTTACCGCGTCACCCCCATCACCTGGGCCCTCTGACGCCCTCATGACTCCAGGCCGTCTGGCTCACAGCAACGCCGTGAACCTCTGCTTCCGTCGGAACCACCCGGACACGACCCGGCGCTGCCGACCTGGGACGCCGCGGGGTCACTTTTGCCTTTGATGCATGGATCCCGACAGGACTGGGAGCAGAGGAATGAGGAGGAACATGTCCCTCTGGTGGATCTTACTGCTTTTCTCCCACGGATTTGTTCTTCGAAACGTCCGAGGGGAACTTCCTTTCATCTCGGGGAACAACGCCGCCATGTTGGTCAACTGGTGAGTGGGAGAACGAATGGTTTCGCCTCTTTCACTTTTCCACCCTGACCCGCGATTACCCTCTGAAAACGAGGTGCGGCGTTCCAAAGGGGTCCCGCTGCTTGCAAAACTGCCGCCGCAGGGCACCCTTTCTTATTTTAGGAAAGATATCGCCCTGTGACACAGTGGAAGGCAGATCCTCTAAGATGCTTTTAAAAGGAAAGCGGTGGGGCTGATCTCTTGCAACACATCCTCAGACGGGAGGGTTGTCTAAGATTAGATGTGCTAATTAGAGGCTTAATTCTGTCGTTCAGCGATATGGACCCGTGCACGTGAGGTTTGTCTGAGAGCAAATGAAAACACGACGAGCCGCCGCTGACCAATATGAGAGAGGTCAAATGTCAGGTTTGCAAAGCGCTTCCTTACTTTGAGTGGACACGGGGGCGAGACAGCAGGCGGCTGTCACACTCGCTCTAATCAAGTGAGGCGAGAATGGTTAACGCCAGGTGACTTTCATCCGAGCACAGAGGAATTCCGGGGGAGATGATTGCCGACTTGCAGAGGACACGTTGTGGAAACATCAGATCGTGTTGCACTTGTTTGTACTGGGTGGGGGGAGGGTGGGGGGCAACATGAGAAACCCTCCAGTAGGCTACAGCCAGGAAAACCCCTTTAAAGCACGTCTAGTCGGTCCGTGGAGAGTTTTTAGTTAAAGGGTCAAACACACCCAGAGAGTAAATTAACCTACTGGACTGAATGTGACCCCCCAGAGCCCAAAACTCATCAGCGCTGATTTGGAGGGTTTCCAGGCAGAAGCTCTGAGCTGCATGAATGATGATTTACTGTCTTCAGTCCTTCGACCAAATGGACTTGACGGATAATGATACAGAGTTTTCTTGTGATATTCACAACAAAACATGGCAGACGGTGAATTTGAAGGTTTAATTGGATGGAAAATTCTCTTCATGTTTTTTAGGAGGTAAACATCTGTCAGGCCTGGAGGGTACACACACAATGTATGAATGTAAACACAAAAAAACACATGGCAGCTTTAATTCAAAGTGTGTATTGGCTGATTTTCTAAGAAAGGCTGCACTTAAAACTGATTTATTTTCATTTGTTTAATTGTTTTATTGTCTAACCTTTATAAAGGTATCCACAGTATTTTATTAATAAAAGGAAAAGATTTGACGGACAGACATTCCGCCTTTCAGACAACTGTTTCTAATCAGGTGGTCAAATAAACGTGTTCACCGGCCAACCATCCAGTAGGTGAACCATCAACACCAGCGAAGCCTTTAACTCTTTGCTTAAAGCAGGAGGCTTCAGATGTGGCTGGGAAAAAATAAAACGCAGGGGAAATCCACACTTTTAATAATAATTCTACTCGAAACTGTGGGTGGGGGGAGTGTATTACAGTTCCGTTTTACATAAGAGTATTAAGCAGATGCCTTTCAACACACCCCACCCCCATCCAACCCCCCCCACCACCACGTGTCAGAGCGAGGCTGTCCAATCCCAACCTACACACAGACACACACAGATTTACCTGTTCTATCTTTGAGAGGACTTAGCTTACATTCAAAGTCAAAACGTGACCCGTAGCTCGCACGTAACCCCCAGCTCAATGAACCAGCTACCATCAGAAAGCCCGGCCCTTTCACCATCCCACCATCGCTGTGGGGACATTTGGTGCACACACACTCACAAACACACTAGGCGACAGCCAACCAACCAATCCCTCCCTGATCTGTGATGTCATCTTCTTATGCAAAAGCTGATGGGTGGTTGGATGGAGGGATTAACCCTGGGTCTCAGGTCTCTCTCTAACTGTGTGTGTGTATGTGTGTGTGTGGGGGGGGGAGGGGGTGGATGTGCGCGCGCATGGGCTCATGCAGGGATAAGTGTTGTTTGACAGGGCTGTCCGGGCCTGTAGACAGCTGGTTGTGTGAGGGATAGGCTACTCTCCTCCACTAGCCTCCACTCATTGACTCTGATCTCCTGGTAATGTTTCCCACATTTACTCTGGGCCCGGCACGCCCGTCTCTCCTCGCGGCGTTTATCTCCTTCTAATCTAGAATTAGTTACATCACGTTATTTGGCATTACACTTATCATGCGCGACATACAGTCAGCAGTCACCGGTGGAGGAAAAGGCTGCACAAGAACTGTGGGGGGAGTGAGGATTGCAATATGAAGGTGGCCGAAGATTGGTTTTGCAAATGTGATTTGATGCCAATGCTTTTGAATTATTTTCCAACATTTTTCATTATGTAATGTATTTTATTTATCTTAATAGTTGTTAGTGTAGCCTGTTCTATATCTGACTGTGTGTCAAACCCTGACAACCGCTGTATTTATTTGGGGGACAGTCATAGATTAATAGAGAGTTTTGTCAATATATTTTATTTAAATAATCTACCACACCTGTTGCTGTTGTTGAAATGTGGCTGACGCTTCTGACCTGAAGTTGGATTTAAATCCCTTTAATAATTGAGTGAATTTGTAACCTTCTGAAATACAATAACATAATCATTCTGAACTGCCTATGCCACTGATTCTAAAACATTTATCCGCGTAAATAAATACATAAAGACAAACCAAGGATTTGCTGTGAAAAACATCTAAAAGTGTCTGTATTATGTCACTGTACAGAGCATAATCAATTGCTTTTCAATGGAGGGCGCTACAGCCGTTTCCTAGCAACAGACAGGCTAGTCCCCATTACATGAAATGATATGAATATACATAACATGCAGAATTCATGCAGTTATACTTTCCTTCACAGAGTGGATTCCTTCTTTTGCAGTGAGACCACTTTCCACTTATCCTTCACTATGCAGATGTATGCTGGGGTTCTTTTTCTTTGTCTTGCGTCCTTTGCGTTTTTACTCTTATCAAAGAAAATGTATTGCGCCTCTCCTACTATTACTTATAACACTGACCATATTGTGATTATTGTTATTTTCTTCGTTCCTTTAAGATGTGTTTGTTGTGAGTTCCGGTCTGTCGGTTGTCCGTAGACACGCGGTCGCAGGCGGCCAACCCACCTCTGCTTGTGTGTATGTTCTCTGTGCCGGCGTTCTGCCCCATGAGATGGTACTGGTTGAGCCTGGAGCCGTCCGCGGCCACCACCACGGAATGAGCAGCTTCCTTAGTCCAAGTGTAAACCACCTCTGACACCGGATAGGCATCTGAGGGACACACAGAGCGAAAGATGTCTTCAAATTAGCTTGGGAATATACAATTCAACTGGTTCATTTTTTTTAATATACAAGCATCCAAAATGTTTGTTAATCTGCTTACCAAGAAATAACAGTTTGTTCCAAACGTGCAATCGTTCATATTATGTGCAGCCGACGAATCTTTCTAGCACTTTTTGATTAGACTGCCGGCTTAAGAACAAAAAACAGAAATGTGCTTGCAAGCCTGTGCGTGCGTGTGTGTGTGTGTGTGTGTGTGTGTGTGTGTGTGAGAGCGGATATTTGAGTGTATTCTTGTTTAAACCACACTTCTGGGTCAGAGGTGAGCTCCCCCATCGGCAGGAACCAGACACAGTCAGATTAACCGTAATGTGTTGCATCACCCTTGTGATGAAAAACGGAGCTGAAAACTCGGAAGCCTTCCTTGCTATTTCATTTATTCAGGATGAATCAGGCACAAACATTGGACATCGATCAGCCTGACCCAACATGGAAAGATGAAAACAGTAACTCACATGGAGAGAGGGCTTGTTCTCGGATTTTTTTCGATCTGAAATGGCATGTTTGCGGTTCAGACTGCGATTCAATGTAAGTGTTCTTTTTATCAGAAAAGGAAACAGCTTACGTAACGCATTCCCTGTTTGTTGTAATTATTGAGTCAAAAATACAAAAAGCATTATTTGAGATTGGGGCTGAAGCCCTAAAAAGCTGATTGTGATCATGTCAACTTACATTGCATATGGAAAGATATATTGATAGAAAATGTTCTAAAAACATACAGACTAACAAGAGAAATTGGGAAACGCTTGCAGCAGCCGCTCAATGTTCTGCTTTCATTTGGATGTAATGCAATCAAACACCGGGGAAAGGAAGTCCCTCCCACACTGACAAGCGCTGCTTTTGTGCGGACGGTTCACTGTCAGACACCCAGGCAATCGGGAGTAATCGGGTGAAAAAAGTTGGAAAGTCACTGCGGTTTGGAGGCAGACGATTATAGCGCATGAAATATCCGTGAAACTGCATCAAAACATTCAAATGTGTTCAGCGCATTCCGGCTGATTGCCCCACTCATTAAACCCGGCGGCCCCGGCTTGGGTCACATGGCTGTTTATCCGCCCTGTGGATGACATCTTAACTTGAGTATTTCCATTCAGGGCGCTCCCTTGGCGGCTGCTGTACAATACAGCGTTTAAATTCGACCCCTGTCAGGCCGAACGCCAGGACCTTGATTGTAGGGTAGCTAGATTGCAATAAGGGATTATTGGGGGCATTTTTGTACGCCGGGCGAGAGCTAAAGACCCTGGCAGCCGGAACGGCGCACCTGTGCCAACTTTGCGACAGGTCGCGCGGTTAATGCCTCGCCATTCCCGCTTTGTGAGCTCGGCGAGGGGAGCGACCGCGTGCACACGTGTGAGAGCCGGAGGCCGCTAAATTAGGACACAGGTACTGTAACGACGGAAATAAAAGGGGATTAGTTGCCCTTTAACCGAACCAACTTTAGAGCGGGCCCAGGTGCCAGTATTGCACAACAAATCAACACTCACACCAATGATTGGATACAAGGAGCATCCCCGCCCAACACCCCGCAGCTTTAAGACAGTTACCACCTTGGCGAAGGTGGCCCTGCTACCTATTTAGCAGTAGATAAACACTAATTTAACTACACTCTGATTTAGTTTTTTAGCTTTACAGACAACTGAAGCTAGCTGCTTATTTAGCCTCAAAATCTGCTCTCTGAAAACTAAAACTATGCATTTTTGGGGAATTTCATAACATATAAAAACATGTTTTACCAAGCTGTTTAGCATGGATGAAAAAACAGTATTGTTATGGTAGATTACGTATGGTAGAATCTACAGCAACGATTTATAGGGGGAAACAGTCTGCCTTAAAAAGGAAGCTTATAAGCATCAAATCATCACATTTTTAGTAAGTAAAGTAGTAAAGATGCACCACAACTGAGTGGCTTCTTACTGGGCTCACGCTGCGGTTCCTCTTCCCATGAGGAATCTTGCTTGCAAGCAAACAAATAAGTAAACAAACAGAACAAAAAAAACAACAACCTTGTCTGTGGCGCTAAATAAAACGAAGAGGGGATGGAGAGATTTGTTGGCTTGAGGGATTAATTTTGCCCGTTTCTCATCACACCGGATGCTTTCCCCTTTCATCCCCCGCGGATGTAAAACGGTAAACACTGGATTCTGTCGAAATACCGATTGGTCTTGTCACAGATTAAGAGCCGTTTCTTTCATTTGGAGAAAAAATATATTGTAGTGTGATTAACTATGTATTATGTATTAAGTATGATTGTGCAGGTCCGGCACATTTGCTGCAGTGTGCGTGGGGGGTTTAGTGTATTCACTGTAACGCCGTGTGACGACGAAGGCTAAAGCCAGGTGGCTGTCAGAAGTCTTTGCGCTTGAACGGATCCTCTTTCTAACCGGGAGGACACAACCCCGTAAAACCCCGGTGCCACCTTCAACGGGTTATTCCCATTATACACACACCTTTCACCTGTAGGGCTTCACAGCTGGCTGACGGCTTGAGTCGGCCGCAGGGGAAGGCCCGGCAGCTCCTTACTCTGTAATCTGATTGCAGTCAAATGTGCTTTCTTTATTTAGTGGGTGTGTGGGGACGGCCTTGCACAGGAGTCTGGGGATAAGAGCCTCATCCTTTTAGCCGCGGGAGGCTCCCGAGGTGCGGCGCTGGGCCAGATCTGTCTTTAAATACCCTCAGGGCCTCACAGGTTTCCATAGGACACAAGCGGAGAACCCTTCCGGGCGCTGGGGATCATGCGCTAATCTTCCCTTCTATCAGCGGCTTTGACATTGATTTTCTATCAGCAGCTGCGAAGGAGGACGAAGGACACCTAGAAAATAAAGTGGCTCAAATCAGAGGGCTGACCTCTGACCCAAGAGCACGCGGCTCGGGTGAAATCTCTTAACGATGCATGCATGCTGACTGTGATTTGATCCAGATATGTTCACAGTCCTCTCCAGTAGGTCGAAGCTGAGGGGGATCCTTAAATAACATACATATGCGTGTCTTATTAAACTAGTTGAATTAATTTGCACTCGGCGGACTGTGACGTCTCCAGCAGATAGTAAAGACCCGTCGACCGGATCCCCGCGGGAGCATCCTATCAATTAGCCACAATGATTCCTAATTGTTCTTACTAAATTGCTCTGAATTTAGATTAAACCTTTTGTGAAGATGATTGCGTTTGGACTCCTCAAAGCTGGGATTAGCATGTGGGAAAGAACGAGGCATTGAGACACAGCGATTGTACTCACAGCTGCCAAACTTGAGAGGGCAGGCGTGTGCGTCCATGGGGAAGTCCTCCAGCTGCATCGGGCACTCGGCTGATATGGTCAGTCTGAGGCAAAACACACAGAGCAAACGCATTAACCACGTGGCAAAGTCTCACTCTAGTCCTCCCCTCCGACTATTTAACTGGGCGTTTAGTTCTCTTGTTCTATTGCAGAAATTACAGGGGACCAAAAATCCGTTAGGAGGAAGGCCACAACCCGGCCGCCTTTTAAATAGAAACCAGCAAACCATCGGAGCCGTGGAGAGAGGTGACTGGTGTTTCTCTCACTAGAAACACCAGTATTACAGCGGCAACACTACCACCTGGTGGTCTCACAGCGGCGGTGCACAGGGGGAAACCCCTCAGAATGACCCTTTGGACTGCCTCTCATGCAGGTTTATAAAGGTTCCAAATAGCTCCGTCTCATAATGGGCACTATTTGAAAAACTAAGATCTGCTGCTTTGTTTAGATTTGGGCAATAATTCCCAGATAGGTACTACAAAGGTAATAGCTTTTCAAATCTATTTCTAATGTGGTCTTTCACAACATGTTGATATCATTCTAGGCCTCTGCAATGGTACCTCGCTCAGCGTTCTGAGTAACGGGATTAAGCGTATCAAGCATAAACCCATAATTCCTGCTGTTTCTGTTTTTCCGCCATCTGCCTTAGATTGAGTGGAGGTCCTGTGTGTTTTGGCTGGTTGCATCATGATGACCAGCCATACAAAGACGTGACGATGTGGATTCACCAAACATAAAAGGACTTAATGATGAGGGAATAGGTGATGTGGGAAACCAGGGCACAAACACCTGTTTATTACTTTAAAGTAGCTCCCAGCCGTCTGAGTGGCTCCAAATGTTCAAATAATATAAACATTTGATATCAAAAGAATTAGGTAAAGAACAGTGAGGCAGAAGCCTTGTTTAGCGGCCCAAATCACAGGACGCAAAGAGCCCTTTGCCCATGGCGCTGATTGTAAGAGAGGCGATGACTGTGGGCTGGAATGTTATTAAAGGGCCATGAAAGAAAGACAGAAAGTAAGTTTGCTGTTTGCGACGTGCAACTTCAACTTTTATTTCTCAAATTAGTTCTCAGGGGGGGAACTGAGGCTTCTGCCTAAGCGGTATCAGCATTTTGTTTTCTGCTTCACCGAGATGCAGCAAGATCGTACTGGCTCGGGCTTTTTGGGGGGGGGGGGAGGTGTGCTCCAAAAACCTCCAACGTGTAGGTACCCACCGCCGGAGGTTTCCCACCCGTATCATGAAAGTAAATGAAGCGTGGCAAAGTGGGGTAAGAGGCCACCTCTGGTCCCCACAGAGCGGGCTGTTCCGTCCTTCCACATCGACGCGGGATTATCCAACTGTGGCGTCGCGCCTGAAACAGGCCTGCGATTGGAGGAGAGCAAACTGTGTCTTTGGGAAAAATAAACGAGAACATGGCTGTTGGCTATTATACCACGTTCCAATTATTCATGCGGCTCATGCCCCATTAACAGGGACGCCTCAATAGATACTCGCTCTGTGTATGCCAAGTCTGTGTATCTCCTTTGTAGGTATAATGTAATCATCAGGGGTAAAAGAGCAGCGTAGAATAAGTCCCCTGATTCGGTTCAGCCGGTGTGGACTGAGTGAAAAGCAGTACATCACAGCCACTGTGGGAAATCTAGAAGTTCCAAAATGCGCCTTACCGTGCGGAAAAGCGGAGAACTCGGACGACAGGACGGAGCGGGAAGAGGGCTGACTCTCGACTTCAGGGGCTTTAAGCCGTATTAAGCACTGAGCCGCGATACCGCGCCATCTGTCTTTTCCCATTATCGAGCACATTGTGTTTCTTAACCATCTCCAAACTTGCCTCACATGCGCTGGGTCCCGTTGGAGCTGGGGTTATGCAATATACCCCCGGGAGAGATGGGCCGGGGCATGAACACGCGTGGCATTATAATCCATACAAATTGTCAGAGGACGACGTGAACGCAGAGCAGCCTAAACACCGGGAGCCTTGAGGAGAATGGCGACTCAACTGTACCTGATGACAACGACGCGTGAGGCTGTCACTCTCGCATCTTGCATCTCCCACCTACTGCGGGTGGGCTGTTTTAATTGTTAATTTATCACCTCAGTCCTCAGAGTAAACAACGTGCACAGCTACGTTAGGACGTCAGGTTCTAGTCGTATGGTAACAAACACACAAGCTGTTGTTGAGTTAGCTGGAACCTGTGAGTACCCAGATGGCCCGTGTGTGAGCGTGTGCGTGTGCGTCGATGTGTGTTTTTGCAGGAAACCAAATGCGCGCTGCCTGCGGTTAAGCTCCGCTGGTAATGACGAGCACAGTGCTGTAACAATTAGACGATTAAAAGCGACCCACTGCTGCTTCGTTTCAACTGTGGCAGTGGATCTGATGCCATTTTTAGATCACAGCAGCTCTCTCACTCGTGCACGCATCTAGTGTGCATTTTTGTGAGCGTTTGGCCGCGTGCGACAAAGCGGCGACTTTAAGTACGCGCCGCTTTAGATATGTATGTGTGTCGGCCTGCTGGCATATGGATAATCTGTCATCCATCCAGCATTATTCTCCCGCTGGGTGCCACTGGTATCAGATCGAGTGCTCTCATCCATGATACTCCCACTCTGAAGTCCTGCAGCTGCGGTGACTCCTGAGGATAGCCACAGAATTATTATTCTAATTCTGTGGTGCAAAGGTCACAGGGAGCCCCGGCGGACAGCTATTTGTGAGAAGCGTCTTTTGAGCAAAGCAAATTTTGAAGATTTTTAAGTTCTACATACCGTTAGAATTCTGATTGATCACCATCTGGTCGATGTCCTGTTTCTTCGATCTAATTTTTTGTTCTAATCCACCACTTCCTCACTGCCAAAAACGATGGTTCAAATGGAGGTTGCTTTTCTGAATGGATGTTCTCCCTCTGCAGTTCTTTCCACAACACTTGTTTTAAAGAGACCCTTTCCTCTGGTATTCATTTTAACATGACCTCCCCTCCAAAAAAAACCTCAATCCATCCCAAGAAATATAATAATTTAAATGCTCATATTATTTGCGCTGGCTTTGCTATTATTGTGATATAACTGATGCCTGTGATTAGCCACTAGGTGGCACTGTTTCCCTACAGCCAGGGTCACATACTGAGGGCAGGGCTGCACTGGGTGTAAAGTTGGCCTTGCTAGCTGTTTTTATTTTCTCATTTTGATGTACTCTTGACATTCTTCCCTTCGCTTACCTCCAATAAAAGCGGAGGACACATAAACGGGAGGTGTCCTTCATTACCGTAAGAATTTAGAGGCGCATCTTGAGCGTCAGCACTTTGCAGACAAGTGTACCTCTCTATGGTTGGCAACATGTTTGAAGTGTCATCAACCTTGATCGCCTCCCGGGTTTTTACATTATTCATAGCTCATTATTCTGTGGGTTTGTCCAAGGCAAAGGATGACACGTGAATAAATCGGTCCAGTGTGGGAGAACCTACCTCATAGTGTAGAGCAAAGTGCCGTCTTCCTGCAGCCTCAGCAGCTTGTTGGGCGTGGTCATGTTGTGGGCGATCGACTTCTTGCCGTTGAGGAAGAAGGTATCGGGGGTCCAGATGTTGCTCGCCAGCAGGTTGTTCAGCGGCAGCATCTCCATCGGCCCTTTGAAGCACAGACGCTCGTCCTTCCAGCTCTGGCGGAAGAAGACGTCGATGGTGTATTCCTGGGAGGAAAGAAAAGAGAGGTCCCAGGAGAGTTTTGCTGGTAAAGGAGCGACAGCAAACTGCCCTCGGATCATTTCCTCCCAAAATGGCTGAAGGGAAAAACATCTTCCTCTGATTGGAGCGCTCACTGCGTCAATTCCACTCTCAACTTTCCCGGCATTGTTTTTGTCTCGTGTGTATTTACCCAAACAGGAATTTAAAGTTATATTGTGTCTGTTTTCTGTTGCAGCATCATGTCACAGTTTGTTTGCCATTTATGGCAAATCTGCATAAAATGGCCAAACATGGTCTGTGACAGCTGCTCCTTCTTTAAGCCTTCATATATCCACCAACAATTTACAGGGCGATGAAACATTGCTGTGTGGCTCACTGCTGGTGTGCGAGATATCAATCTGGGAAACTAACATGTGATAGAGAAGCTTCTATTAACCACCAGCATTCAGGTCTCTTGCCACATTTCATTAATCAATTGCGCAGGTTGTCAATACCGTCTTCAATTATAGGAGGTGTCAACTGCTGTGTCAGTGTATGCCAGGGATATCGCACGGCGTAATAGAGGATTTAATGAAAGAGGAGATCTGATGCATTTTGCTACCCAAGGAGAACCGCAAAGCTCATAAGGGAATGGATGATAAAGGGAAGAGTCATTTGGAACAAGCTGGAATGGGCCGGCCACACCGCATTAAACCTGAAATCTATAATTCATCCACATTCATTCAGCCTCATTTACAAGAAACTGTAGACACGACGAGGGGCTGAGTATGGGAAATGTATAAGCCTGTGTCTTGGGTGGGCTGCAGAGACGTGTGTGTGCTACGCCGGTCTCTCTCTTTGTATCTACGGTGTTGGCGGAGGATGAACTCACCATCTCCGTGTCGGACACCGGGCCGAAGCTGGTGACAAAAATATCCGTCTTGATCTCCGTCACGTTCTCTGTGGAGAGAGCCCAGGTGACCAAAGTCTGAAGCTGTGGTGAAGTCATTTACAGTGAAAAGATTAATTTTATTGATTTTCAATTGGAGCAATTTAGGCCTGATAATCCCTGGACACCTTCCCCTGGTCGCTCTTCCCCGACCGCGCTGTCTGGGTCATAACAGCCACAGAACTTCATCGTGGATTCATCCAATGATTACTTTGAAATATCTATTGCTTATTCTTTAGAAAGAATAAAAATAAAAACATACTGAATAAAAGTATTCAGTCTGACCGATATATATATATAAATATATTCAATTTACTATGATATTAAAAAAAGCAAAAAAACACATTTTAAATGACAGAAACTGGAACCTGGAAAAAAATATTTTTTCTTAACAAATGAGCTAAACTATTCAAAAATAATTAACAGTTCATTTTCTCTCAATCCACTAATTGACACTAAAAACAGTTTCAGCTTTAGAGGCTTTAACCTTCTGAAGGCAAACCAGCTGCTTATAGCTGAAGGGGCATGCAACGGTTCAAAACTAAATATATGAATTTGATATAAAGCTGAAAGCAGATTTCCAATCAGTTGATTAAAGAATACACCCAGTGTCAGTATTCATATGAATCCACACGTTTCTGTGATGTTCTCGCGACATGCATTTGTTCTGGAGACATAAAAGGTGTCATATTATTTCCTTTGCACCAACAAAGCCAACTCAATCTCCACTATGAATACAGATTTGGTTTTGCCGAGTGGGGATTTGCTGTGCTGTTGAGGGAGCAGCTTGTTGAATGCAGAACGAAGGCCTGAATTCTTTTTTTCCCCCCAGGAATGTATTTATAGGCCCTCTTGTCAAGGGTAGCAACCGTTACCAGGATGTGAGAGCAGACGTTTGCCATGACACATCACGGCAAAAGCGTTTAGGCATGAAAGAGCCTTGTTTCTTCCAACAGGGAGTAATGAATTATGGGGACGGTATGTACAGGGGGAACAAATGGAAATTAGGACCAATGACGTGACAAGAAAAAAACGCTATCTAACGCTGGGGTACGGACAGCGAAAATGAAAAAAAGCTTTTATTTCAGTGGCCCATTAGAAGAAAAAAAAAAAAGAACTCTCCATCTTTGAATGGCGATTCGTCAGCTCTCAAGGTTATCTCCTGTTGCCGGGGCAAAGAGCGTGAATAAAACACACCTCACCGCGCTGAATTCTGGCCGCGTTGAGTACAAGAAAAAATCCTGCGCATACTCATGATCCCCGGACCCACGGGGGGGGAAGGAAAACACGCCGCATCTGAGAGCACGCATTTGCGTTCACCTGAGCTGACACGGGTGCAAAGATTACGCATCTGCTCTCACAGTTTCTGCCCTGGTATCTCGGGTCCGGGGCCCCTCTACTCGTCGACTTCGGGTCTGCGGGGTTAAGTTGGCACGCTGCGAGGTTTTCGACTGCGACACTGCGCTATCGAGCTGTGAGACCACAGCGGCGCTTTCAGAATGAAAGGCTCCTAAACGAACAGACGGGGACCTGCGGCGAACCTCCGAGTCCTGGCCGGAGCCGGTTGTCGTAGCCGTCCAGGAGCCCGTCCAGGATCCTGGTGAACACTGTGCTGTTGTCGTCCTTCTGGGCCGCCGCCTCCTTCTGGGCCGCCGCCTCCTTCTGGACCGCTCCCTCCTTCTGGGCCGCCGTGGAGGACAGGCAGCGACTAGGAGAGGAAACAAGGGGGCAAGAGTAAAAAAAAGGTTTTGAAGAGAAGGAACCTCCCGCCGTTGGTCACAAGACGTCGAACAAGACACCGTTATTAGGAGTAATTAGCTTGCCGCATTACGGACAGGATGAATTATTGAATATAAGTACTGCTTACAACTACCAGAGCAGATCATTAAGGCTTTGACATGTGATCCAAATACAGACAAATGAGTCCCCCCAGCCCCTAAATATGGCAAGAAGCGTTATGTCTGTGGGATGAGAGAAATGAGGGAAATTACAAAGAACATTGTGTCCGTGCACCGAGACGGGTTACAAGCTGGATTGGAACATGTGAACTAAGATCCATTGATCTATGGGAGTGGACAATCCCAGTGATTTACTGACAGCATCGGCCCAAAGATCCTTTTCGCTTTTCTTGAGTGCAGGACGGCCACTTAAGCGGCGACGTGTCAGAGTGCAGATAAGGCGATCGGGAGAGGAGGGAAGAGCTGGCAGGAAATACATGTATAAAAAATTGCTAGCAGGATAAATTAGAGAACTACACAGGAAATGTAACTGATGATTGAACATACTCCGTCACACGGCTACTTGACGATATTTAGCTTTTAAAATAACCGCAACAAAGTTCTATTGTCTCAGGAGCTTCTTCTAGGGATAAATAGCATTTGCACTTTTTGGCTGCTCCCATTTGTAGGTTTACCTATTTCGGCATCCGCACAGGAGCAGGAGGGAAAGGACGAGCCTCGCCATGACGGAAATTCGGCTCACTTTGTTGTTCAGAGCTGCAACACATCCACAAACACACACACACACACACACAGAAACACAGACAGAAAAAAAGAACAAAATAGCATCAGAAAAGCAGCACATTCTCCTTAGACGCAACAGAAATATCAGCTACGTTTTGGTAAACTCAAAAGGTCTCACAATCTCAAAAAGGTGCCACAACTCACACAAAGAAAGTCCGCTGCACACACGCGGAGGCGGACCGTTAAGAGAAATCACCAAATCAAGCGGCGGGACAATCTCTGCTCAATGAGGCTGTGGCTCTTCAACATCCAAAACGTCGCCCGCCAACCCCCGCCCCCAGACAGACGTCATATCACACAATACATACAACTAAATAGGGGTATTCTGTCCTGCGGCGCGATCCCCGTCGTGTGAGCTCCAACTGCGTTTGAATCCAGCCCATTGCAATTCATGCTGGTCACCTAAACCGCCCCCCCCCCATCCTCTACTCCACCGCCACCCCTTTCCACGCTCACCACCACCACCACCACCAAAAACATCAATCTAATTTATATTCCTATTCGCCATGCTGTGTCGAATTAGAAGAAGAAGAAAAAAAGACAAAAGAGGGGGGGTACCTGAATGCAGATCCATCACCAGCATATTTTCTTCTTTTTGTGCCTCCTCGTCCCCCGGTCCCCCTCCACCCCCTCTCAAACAACAACTGGAGAATGAAGGGGTGTCCGTCGGCGGCGTTTAAACTGAGTGGCCGCGGGTCCAATCCCCTAATCCCCGGCTTGACGGCGGTCCCCCCCCCCTCCCTCTTTCCTCTGCTCCTTGGCTTCTCCTCTTAGGGCTGCTTCTGCTCTCTCTCTCTCGCTGTGTGTCTCTCACTCCCTCTCAACGGTTCCCCATCTGGGCGTTTGTTGTAGTAGTGTGTCTGGTCTGCTCCTCCTATAGGCTCCTCCGCTGCCCCCCCCCCCCCCCCCACAAATTTAAAAAAACGCGTCTGGAAACCGGTTTCTTGCTTCGGCCGCCAGGAGGCGGAGATTGGACCCCCCTTGCCCCCCTTGCCCCCCCGGGGTCGTTGGTTTGGTTTACCCCGCCCACTGCCTTTCGCGACACAGTAAATGGCTGCACCACCGGCTTTTTGTCGGTCCAGAGGGGGGGGGGGGGGGGGGGGCACTGTCCGGGAATGTGGTCGAGTCCGATGTTCATTTTGGGAAGAGAAGCGGATGTGTCGATCGGAGCGGCAATTATTACAATTATACAAAATATATCAGCTCCTTCCTAAACTTTTTTTGTCCGATTAACCGAACAATGCTTTCCGCCGGTTCCAAATGTCTTCACCCGAAGTTTTTGTTAAAAACGGGATGTTATAACACCCTCAATTATACAAAGATATAATGAACTAGTTCACTCATTGTTGGGTCGGTTTGTAAACGTGCCTTTCTTAAAGCGAGACATTTCAATAATTTATGAACGAGGTAAGATATAGTTGAAGAACTTATATATGGTTTAGTTACATTAAAACCGTAACCGTTCAATATAAGCTTTTTTTTAATTCAACCATTTATCGGATAAATATCCCGCTGTTTATCCTTCATTTTACCGGACACACAACTATTTCAAGATGTGTCTATTTTAGTTAACTATTTAGACTTTTTTTTTCTTTAAACCCAATATTCCCAGATTCACCATTTACCGTTACACCAGCCCAATGTTAACTATTTCCACCTGGAATTCTCTTATTTCTATTTCCGCTAATTATTTCATACTAACCTGGCAACCGCGCAAGTATCCCCCTGCGGCAGAGAAGCAGAGCAGCAGGGGAAAGGGATGGAGTGAAATAACTCCTTCTCACCAAAGTGAGAAGAAAAGGTCACGTACATGTCTTAGTTGTATTATTTAATCATGAATTAACATACGCTAGAGGTCCCGTCAGCGCAACAGTTTCGAGTAAAGCTGTTATTATCTTCCTGTCGGTTGCCATAAGAGGGAAGCCGAGTTCCATGCTTCATAGACGGATCATTGGTTTTCTGATACATACCCCCCCACCGCCACTTTTCATGATCCCTTTTGGAGCTAAGGACTTCAGCACCACGGACAGCTCGTGGTCGGTGGCACGGAGGTGGGCAGAGGGAGGGATGGAGAGAGGGTACCAAACCCCTTACCTGGTCATAGGTTTAGGATGGGATCGGGTGGGGCTTTAAATAAGTCCTCTGAAGCAGAAACCCTCGAGGGCCAACTTATTTAATGTGCCGATGAGCAGAGGATGCAGAGGGTGTGTGTGTGTGTGTGGAAAGAGTGGTTTGGGTGTTGGGGGGTCTATTTCACACCTACTTTACTAGTAGAAACTGAATAACTCACGTAGAACAAAGTACACAACATAAGAGGTAGGAGCCGAATACACATTTAAAGGGTTAATACACATCGGAATGTAAATACCCAGCCATGAACACATGACCTGAACAGGTCATTTGATAGGAAAATGAAATATTCCTTCATAATAGAGGTTTGTATGTTTTTTAGTTTTAGGCGGCTGATCAGACACGTGTTTCCATTGGCTGAACGCCCTTCTGTTGTTAATTATGTCACCATCCTTTTCTTCCAGGAATGCTGTTGACGGAAACAAGAAGTTGTTCGCCATCTATGACACCAGGTAGGACTCGTCGCCGACAACACACACGCGCGCTATTTATTAATGAGGTTCTTCAACCGCGGAGGGCGCGCGCGCTCACGCACTTGGTCCTAATTATCCGCAGAATATTTTTGCGACTTCAATATTCCTCGGACTAAATCATCTATTGCAGAGCACTGGACTTTAGAGAAGGGACGGAGACTGCTGGCCACTAACAAGCTGATCAATCACAACGGTTGATCAATGCACCTGTCCCTCATTGATATCGTTCCTGTCCCGCCATTTTTACAGGAAACTCAGTGAAAGTGGATTGGCGCAGATGGTGTGAGGAGCACTGTAAAAAATGTCCAAGGCAATTTTCCGTAGTATTTATGTGTAAGGAAAGAATAGTTGGTTTTAGTCTTTTTTTGCTATTCATTGTATAGCTTAAAAAAAACAATAAAGCAAAGTGGAACCGTTTAAATTATCCAAATAATAATACTGTAAATACAATGAAAAGTGTTCCAAATTAATGAATCTCACATATTAAATGAAACAAAAATATCCAATGTAGAGGTGTGATGGTCAAAAATACCGTAAATGATCCCAACACGTGTTATTATCTTGAATTGGGTTTGAGACTCATGAGAAGGATTCAGTGTATTTGAATACTGCCACTTAGGGACTAAACGTTAGGATATATCTCAATTGGCTGCTTTGGTTTGAACCCTTCCATGAATCCGTCTGAGTCCAACAATTTAATGACGGTATCTTTATTCAACAGCGGGGACTGACCCTTTTAACACCCATATCCTATCCAATGTACACGCACAAGTGCAATCTAATCGGATAAAATGATCATTTTAGGAGAGGCGCGCTGATTGGGAAGGAGAGGAAATAGAACCACCCTTGGGTATAGAGACGTACATACTCTGCAGCTATCGGCGGGTGCCGTTTTCTTTTTTACAGTGTAAGTGCTGGTCTTCTGCTCTCATTTGAACAAGCCGAGTGCCTTCATCTCCGCCACCAGCAGCAGCAGCAGCAGCCTCATCGATATGCGCTCCAGCTCCCGCGTGTAGGAGCGTCTCCATCCTGCGCGCCCACAGACGGCGGAGAAAGAAGCGCAGCGAGCCTTTCATTGCGGCGGAGGCGATATGTTTGCCCATGTTTCATATCTGACTCTATCGGCGGCGGGCTGCTGACTTTTAGCCCCCCACCCTCCTACCCCCCTCCCCGCCCCCCCCTTGTTTCTCTCTCCTCAGTCGACTTTCTCCCCTCGGTGCAATCGATGGATTTACTCTGATTTTGGAGCGCGCCGGGAGCCGTCTCTGCCGTTGCTGCTGTTGTAAACAACGGGGAAGAAAGAGAGGGAGAAAGGGAGGGATAAAGGGGGCGAGGGGCGGGGGGAGAACAAACCCCCAAAACAATCAAACAGAAAAGGGGTGATGTTTGCTCTGCACAGGGTCCGTCAATTCCGCGTCTTGTCCGCGCTGGTTGTCGGCTCGATTGTGTGCTGCGCGAAGAGGTGAGCGCTTTGCTCTTTTTTCTGTTAAAGTCAAGGTTATTGCACGGCCGGGGGAGCTGATTGACACGGGAGTCAAGGTGATGTACCCCCTTCACGCCAACCCCCCATGACCCCCTCCCCCTCTTATGTCTGTTGTGTTTCCAGCGTCAACGAACCGGGCAACATGTCTTTCGTGAAGGAGACGGTGGACAAACTCCTGAAGGGGTACGACATCCGACTAAGGCCGGACTTTGGAGGTATGTGCAGTGGATGCTGTCCAATGGCCCCTTTTAGGCAGCTTCATATTTGGCGCCACTTACAGTGTTGTGGTCAGGTGCAGAGGCGTATGCCCCTATTTATTTATATATATATATATATTTATGTTTAAATCTTCCAGGGGCCCCTGTTGCAGTCGGGATGAGTATAGACGTGGCCAGCATAGACATGGTGTCAGAAGTCAACATGGTGAGTGAAGCTGCACACTAAACACTGTTTTTCATGGGTTTACTCAGCATAACACACACACACACACACATGCGTGTGTGTGGTCCTACATGGCACTCACACAACGTGCTTTCCCCTACAGGCGGCCTATCTGTTGTAGGGAAGTGCTGATGTGAATCCCCGTTTCCCCCCCCTCGCAGGCCCATTATGTGAAGCCGAGATGGATGGGCTGGGTTTCCTGTAAGCAATAAAACATCTTTATCTCGCACACTGCCGGCGGTGTTGCCTTGCACGCTCTGCCCGGGCGTCCGAGAGACAAAATAGCAAATAACACAATACAGCTTTGGATTCTCAGGCGGCGGCTCGGTCCGAGCGGGTAGATCAGAGCCAGGCGGTCCACATGGAAAGCACACGTGGGACACGGCGCGAGGACAACATGGCCTCCTCGCTCTCAGTTGTTCTTTTTCTATCGCAGCAAGAGGAAAGCTCGTTAGCCTCTGGAGCCACATTGGTTCAGAAGTGTGGACCCCAGGGCCCCACCGAGCAGACTGCTACCTCAAGGCCGTCTGATTGGATACTCGGTCATTTACAAGCCGGGACACGCTCATGCCCCCACGTTGACCTTGTGTTTGTGTTTGATGGCCTGCGTAGCTCGTTACCGCGCCGACAGGGACCATATGCCTTCACAGCAGTGCCGTTGCCGCGTCCAGATCAACTCGGTGTCCCGGTATATGATGGTATAGCTTTTTCAAGTAAACACCTTAATTCATTGACCCTGCCGGCTACCCGAACAGCTGTTCGCCCTTGGCCAACTTGCTCGTAACTGGCCGGCGAGTTAGCTCGTTAGCGTGTTAGCTTTGTAGCTGCTAGTGTTGCCAAAGAGGTTCGACAGACTTTGCAAAAAAACGTTTTCTGATCTAACGTAACTTACGTGAGATTTTCCAAAACTAAAAACCTTACAAACAGACATATCTCCTCTCTCACAAGTTGTGTTGGTGCATCTCTGGTCTCTCGTTGCTCCTCATGGATCTCCCTTTTCCGTGTTTTCATGTAGCAACAGTTACTTGTTATGAGCCGTACCCAGCATGCAGTTCGGCGGGGTGATTTTTATAATCGACTGCTGGGCGATCCTCGATAACGTGTAAAAAGAAATTCCGCCCCCCGCCAAAGAGCAACGTCGTTGTTATGGCGTAACACCGGTATGAACGATTCATACCGTACGGAAGTGTTAAACCGGTATACCGCCCAGCCCTACTGGAGCGCATCACAATTCATCTGGTGGGAGGTGTGTGTGTGTCTGTGTGTGTGGGCTGGTGTTCACCCAGAGACTTGTAGCTTTGACTTTTCAGCCTCTCTCCAGTGCTCGGGGCTTTGAAACGAGAGCTCGCTGTTCTTTGGTATTTCGTATTTCACCATCAACTTTATTGCTTATAACCGAGCTTTTATCAATCTTCCATGAGCTCAGCGAGCCGCCAGCTCGGGTTGCTAACGTTCTAACATTCTCTGAGGAGCACACGGAGGCCCGGGAATCAGACAGCCGAGATCACACGTTATTAGAGGATTAATTAGATCTGTTTCACATCGCCGGCGGTGCACCGGGGGAGTGTACACGGGCGTCTGTGCCTGTTAGATGAACAATCCCCGGCTGTGATCCGCTGTTCAAGCCAATACAAGACCGGCCTGGCTGTTTGTTGTTTTTCGCACCAGCGTTTGACATTTGGCGAATGCTTTTTTTCCTCCAGCTGGAAAACGCGTAGAGCGATACGGATTGCAGATGAGAGTCACGGAGGCAAACGCCCAAGTTTAGACATCGGATAATCAGGGTTGAGCGGAAGGGGTAGAAAATGCATGCGAGTCATTAACGGCGTTTATGAGGTAATATATGCGTGCATTCATGCACACGAGCGTGGAACACGGAGAAGAGCGACTGACCCTTGTGATGGTTGGAATCAAACATCCAAACAGGTGCTCGGTCTCCGCGGGTCAGAGACCGAGCACCTGTTTCATTCGTTTCTCCTGCCTGGTCAAAACCTGGCACATATATTTCCCACAATGCAACCCCACAGCCAACTTTCATCCCCAGCAACTGTAAACAGACGTCAATGTATTACATCCACGGACTTCTCTATAATAAAGTATAGGTTTTAAAACATATGACATCCTACACTCTTTATGTTATACGCTCCTTAAGTGATTGTTAACAGTTGTGTACGGGTAAGCTATTCTTTTTAAAACAGGAAATATTACTCAACCCTACATTCCCCTAACAATGTACAGCCCCTTTATCTTAATATTGTTGATTAGTGCCTCACATCTGACCTCTATACTGTTCAAACCTCCACTCTGGTTTTATTTCATGTGGGGTTTTATGGTAGTTTGTTTCCTCAAACCACGCAAGAGTCTTCAGATGGTCTTTGCAGCCCTCGGAATTTAACTGGAGCTAAAACAAATCAACAGACCCGGGACGTAAAAAGGGGGAGCGCAGGGCTGTAAAATCCAAACCTTTTATTGAGAGTGCGAGCGAAACAGGAAAGAGCAGAGAGAGCAAGGGGCTCGGGGGGCAGAGAGGGGAGGCGCTGAGTCTTCGGTTCGCCATCTGGCTCGGCCCTGACGAACTCACCTGGCGGGGCTGGTCGACCCCGATCGGCCACCAGCAGATGCCGGAGCGTCTGAGGAAAAGCACACTAATCACCTCGGAGGTTCGTTCGCGGCGTGCTGAGGCCCCCCCCCACACCAAAGAGACCACAGGACAACATCAGAGCGCGGGCGGGACAGATTCAGCCCGACGCATCGCTTTGAAAGACGTCTCGCTCGTTAGTGCAGTGAGGAGAGTTCTGTCTTTTGGTGTCGGACAATTGGTTTGATGTGAGCTCTGGAGGTGGAATCGAGACCATCGGCCGAATTAGCAGCCTGCATTTTAAAAGGCTTTGAAACACTCCTATTGGGAAAGTTAGAGTGCAGAACGAGGGCACCGTGTGTAGGTGTGTGTTATTCATTAGCACGACGGGCCAACGCAAATTCTTTATTCCACGGCCTTTTTTTAATCCCAGCCCGTTATCCACACCTCACGAGAAGTCACCACTGTTTCGGTGGGTGGGTGTAGGGGAGGGGAGGGGGGCGGGGGAGGGGTGTATGGTCAGAGCTGGTCGCTGTTAAATGCAGTTGGCAGTAACAGGCTGAAAGAGCTAGTCATCCATACACCCACGGCCGAGTGTGGGTGTCAAAAAGAAGAAATAACAAATCCTGTCATTATAGAGAGGTGAAGAGATCTCTGTCTCTCTCTCTCTCCATCTCTCTTTCTCCAAATGTTCCTGCTGACTGTTTATTTCCCAGTGCAGCAGTAAGAAAACGAGCCCATGAGGTAGACTGGCAGTCGGCGAGCTATCCACACAGCGCCTGCACCTTGGAATCACGTGCCGCCTGTGTACAACCGATGTCACCCTAATTATTGTATATAGGTCTCCCAGCCGTGCAAAAGCACATATATTTTTTGACTGTGGCTTAACACACCACCTTGTCTTTCATCCGGCATCCGGGCTGCATGCCTGATGGAATGTAATTGGCCTCGGGAGAGCGCGCGCTGCAGGGGGAAGTGATGGTTTAGAAGGGGCACTTCTTGGTTGCCGAGAGCAGCGGGCGATCTAGCGCCCCCCCCCCCCCCCCTCACACCGAGCTATGAGCCACGCACACCTTTAATGGGCGGCGTGTCTCGCTCGGGGGGATTCTGACACTATAATGCAAAATGCAACAGTTCATTCTAACCAGTCCCGAGACTAAAAGGTCTGGAGGAATCAAGTCTTCTAGCTGTTTGCACAGTTTAATAGTTTTAGAAGAGTTTGTGACTTTGACGAGCTCTCTTAAATCTACTAATCATTTTTCCTTTTTTCCGATGATATGTCATTTTTTTTGTTTTTCCTAAACAAAGGACCTCTGGGCCGAGTTCTACCCATTGAGGGGCGACTTCAGTAACGGCATCTGATATTTAAGCACATGACTTTTGGGAATTTTTTGGGGGGACCTTAAATCCGAAGAAATGAAACTAAAAGTAAAAACGGAATGCAAAATGTCACATTGGCTCAGCTCATATCAGAGACAAATGTTTTTTCTAATGTTTTGCCTCCTGCCGTTCCCCCCCTCTTATGAGGCACTTTGTCATAAAATAATAGACAGTGAGGAAATGATCCCTTTAGGCTTTCAATAGTTTATTGAAGGCCTAAACTGTCATTTGGGAGACAAAAAGCCCAGCTCGATAAGGGAAGGAGCTATTTTTACCGTTCCATAACAGCAGAAGGAAGGAACAAGGAACAACGACCAGGAAGTCGGCGAGGGATCCCCTCCCCCGCACTGCGGTGATACGCCGCCTCGGGGCCGTCCCCAGGGAGGGTTCCCAAATTACACTGAAGTGACTCAAATCGCTTTAGATGAAGGTGGGTTCACGCAGAGTACGCCGTGATTACATGTATAACCGAAATGCAAAGTCCAACCCGGGGAGAGATTTCTCTTTCGAGTTCGTCAGCAACTTTTGTCGGAGCCGCTTCCCGTCGCACCACAGCCGACGACGGAGAGCACGTGCCACGTGGCGAACAACGTTAGCGGGACGTTTCCTAGACACCAGCGGTATCGCGACGTAGCAGCCGGCACGTTGGGCGCCGTAGAGCGGGGAGGACAGATTATATTGAATATGGGTCAGTTCGCAGCCAAAACCCTGCTTATCTGAATTCTCACACACCCTGAATGAGAGCGATTATCCAGTCGAGCTAATTGAATAATTGAGACTCGGCGGAAATCATTTCCGCTGGTCAGTCTCATTGTCGGGGCTGCAAAACATATGCTAATAACCCCGCGGCCGCGGTACAGCTGCGGGCATTTGCCTGTGGTGGGAAGAGGTTGTCAATAATTCATAATCCACCCTTCCAGTTCATAAAAAACCTGAAGTCCCCCCCCCCTCCCTCTCTGAGTCGCGGGGTAGGTGCCGCAGAGCTGGCGCTCTGGAGGGGAGGACAGAAACTCACACCGAGAGTGTGATAGCGCTCTAAGAGGGTGTGAGTGATGTGATAAGGGTCATCGCGAGGTGGCGTGAAAGGGGCATTAGTCATTTGTAAGGATGGTCGGGGGGGGTAAAGTTCAGTGGCTTTGACATTCTGCGATCCATCCACATTGACCCCCTGAATGAGAGCGTGACGGATGGCGCTTATTGCCCTTCATGTCATAGAATCGTGGAAATTGACAAGGATTTATTCTCGTCACTTAAAGGAACAGAGGAATGGTCGACTCCAACAATTCATTCCCCCTGCCAGGGGCGACCCGCGTATCTTTCATTGCAGCCATGTCTCCAGAGACATCGGGATGATGATTGCCAGAGGTTCGTGCAATAAAGCCGACGCTGTCACTTTGCGAGAAGCCTTCTTGTTTCAGGTAAAGGCCGAACTATAAGCTGACCTTCCAGATGATTTGTCGAACGGAACCACCTGAGAAGACCGACTGGCTTAACCATGCGTCAATCAAACCTTTTGGCGAAAACGAGTTGAGGGACAAGCGAAAGCATTATGGCAGGCTTTCAGTACCGTTCTTTTCTCCTATTTTGGCAAATGAATACTCTCAGGGATCTTATTTGCTCTGCTACAATAGAATAAGAGACAAAGAGGGGAGCAGAGAGAGCTGGGAATGCATTAAGAGAAACAAATACGCATTTTCTAAGCCAAATATCTACTAGTCATAGGGATCCTAAAAATGTCTTAATACTCAGCTGAAAGGGGTGGGGGGGATTCTTAAACATCTCTGATTAATTATGGAATAAAGCGCAACCATAAAGAAGGGCAGATGTAAAAAATCATAATTGAAGCAGAGACTTTTAGTCCCTCGAATTGGTCATGCTCAATAGGAGCCTCCGACGTTTGCGATAATGCTAAACCCCTACGCCAACACCTCTTGTAAAATATGTTTTAGTGTCAAACCTAAACTGAGAGGAGTCTTTTAAGACACGGAAAAGGTTCAAATCCATCAGAGGCTTATATCAAGCTTATTCTATGAGTACAAAACATTACAATCTCTTAAGCCTAATCATAGAACTTACTTAGAACGTAGAACTTGCCTAATAACCAGGTTTCGGGACTCATTCCTGCAGCGCTGTATTGGAGAATTTAACACTCCACACTTTAGAACACTTTTTTAGATCATTCTGTTCCACTCTTACCAGAGTGTGAACGTTAGACATTTTCACACAGTCTACCCAGAACACCGTGGATATTCTGAGGCGCGTTTACTCATCTTTATTCAGACGTACCTCAGTGCTGAGAGGCTGGAAACAGACTGTTTGCTATCTCCCCCTCGACACGTTTTTTTCTGAATACCGCTTTAGTTACCTCCACACGAGAACCGGCCACAACCAGAATGGCTCCGTCTCTGTGGCGAAGCCACGGGTCCGCCACTATACGTCCATGGCTCAGTGCCAGTGAGCTTTTCTCCTCATGCTGGGGGACCAATCTGGATCCTGTGCTGACTAAGAGCTTCCCTGTTCACCATCTCCGTGCGCTCAGCCAGTGCTCGTTGAGCACGAGGAACGTGTCGAAATAATAAAGTAAGAAAAAAAAATCATCACGCCGTCCTAATCATGTTTCATTTTCTTCTCTCAAGTGTTTTCTCGACTCCGGTACGAACACGGTGTTGAGACAAGAAACTATCACGGTTACGTAACAGGGGTTTTTTTTTTCAATGAGAAGCCGTGCTCGTAACCGTGGCGGCTTTAATCCTGATTCTTTTTTTTTTTTAATATATACTTCCGTTTCGGGGTAAAAGTGAAATCTGCTGCACCGACGGACACCAGCTCGGTGCGGGCTGGTTGTATTTCATCGCCACAGTGGGCAGAGGGGAGATCACAGCATGGCCCCGAGAGAGAGAGGGAGGTGCAGACAGACTGAGAAATACAGAAATAGAGAAGAGAGACTGTTAGCTTGGGTAAGTGGGTAATGTGATGTGGAAGGAAGGGGCTTCGTCCTCTATCTGCGCTGCCGCTTCCGTTTGCAAAACACTAACAATTTTCTTACCGGCCTAATTTTTTTGTTTGTTTTTCGCTTTTTGTATTACTTACACAACCGTCCTAAAACTGCTGGATTTCCCAACCTAATGCTGTCCTCGCAGGTGGATTTAAGTGCGTTTTGCCAATGCTTATTGGCTTGGGGGCCAGATGGCGCGGGTTTGTCACGGAGTGGGATACAAAGACATAGAAAACCAATAATTAACTCGGTTTGTAAAATGTAGTTCGAGGTGACTTCTGTGAGAATGTTCCGTGCCCTGGAGATCATTGTGAACAGCTAATGCAGCAACATATGCATTTACAGGAAGTGGTAAAAGGACTCCAAAGCTCTTACACACCGCAGCGTAGCCTTTGAGATTCAGCATTTTTGAAAAGAGATTGGAGATGATCTCAGAGGACGAAACAATAAAGTGTCACTTAAGGTACACATTTACATTCGGGTCCCATAAGGAGGTTGCATTTAAGAGAGCCGCATAAAATATGCATATACATGGATATTAATAGATAAAAGTATTCGAATGCAATAGTAAGACATGGAGTCAGTCTTTTTGAATGAAAGGAAAGCAAACGTACGTTTAAAAATCCATGGGGCTCCATTACAGTTCAACTGGTAATCTTTATGAATCACTGCTCGTAGTGGGAATACGCTACTGTGGATAGAAGAGGTGAAATTCTCCACCAAGGCTGCAGCTACATGAGTCAGTCAGCGTGCCACGCTTGTTGTACAACAACACATTGCTGTGCGGGTCAGCGTTTTCCAGAAGGGGGAGGGCCGCTGAGGCCTTGGCGGCGGCGTGTGGACCGCTTGGCCCACACTGCGTCCGGCTCGTAGGAGGTTTTCTGTGTCACGTCACAGAAATATTAGGAGCACTAACAGCGGGAAATGGGCAGAGTTCATATTTCATAGCGGTGCACATTTGCTGAGGCGGCGCGCGGCAGCTCGTTCGATGCAGGGAAATGTGAAGTGTCTAGCTGATTGAAGCAACGAGATGTATCAGGTGACCTCCTCTCACTGTCTCTCTACCCGGGGTTTGTCTCCACAGGACTACACGTTGACCATGTATTTCCAGCAGTACTGGAGGGACAAGCGTCTCGCTTACTTAGGAATCCCCCTCAACTTGACCCTGGATAACAGGGTGGCCGACCAGCTCTGGGTCCCCGACACCTACTTCCTCAACGACAAGAAGTCCTTCGTCCACGGAGTCACCGTCAAGAACCGAATGATCCGCCTGCATCCAGACGGAACCGTCCTCTACGGCCTCAGGTGGGTTCGGCTGCGCGATCCACGCGGGCTTCGTCCAATTTTGTTCCAAATCTTGATTGTGGCAAAAACAAACAAAGACAAAATTTGGTAAAGTGCTAAAGACTCCACCGTGGACCCGAAAACGACAAAAAACACGTCATTCAGTCACACCACTCACAGTGGTCACATGTTCCTGTACTATTTTGAATTCTCCAACCGTGTATTAATCCACATGAGAAAATAGTCCCCAACAAATACACTATTCCCGCCAGTTTGATTAACATCTGCTAAAAGATACAAGGCCCTTGGTCGGCTGTTTGAGATGGAAAGTAAGAAGGTTTTTTGATGCACAATAACACCCTTTTGTACGATAAGAGAAAGTGACTCGACGTGGGTGTTTGTTGTGTTCTCCAGTACCGGGCAGGGAGTGACTTTATGTCATCTGCGTCTCCCACTGTCGAGTTAACTCTACGTGTTTAAAGGCACCGCGCACAGTCACCCCTGCTGAGAACTTGGCAGTTTCCTGCTGCTGGCTGCTAAACTGCGAGAGGATTACGTCTCGTGCTCAAGGGCGCCCCGGCATTCGATTTTTGAGGGAGGGCGCAGCCAGAAATCACCAATTAAATTAAGTCTGACCGGGTTGCACGGAGCCCAAATACAACGTTGAGCTCGCAGCTGTTGTTGTTTGATATTGTGTTTTAGAAAAGCCTTTCTTTTCAATTTACATTAATCTTTTTATTTTGTATGTTTAGTCGCACATTTGCGTTTGCATCCGTCGGGCGTTCATACTTTTGGTCAGACATCCCTGCTTGATTATGCAGGGAGAGTTCATAGCACTTAGCCTCGTGGGCCACTTACAGGCCTCGCAAGGCTTTCAAGCGATCAAAGGCGGAGGGAGATGTGTGACGCTGGGTTTGTGATATGAGCTGTTAAATAAATGTATGTCAGGTAAGGCTGAGCAATATGTGTAAAACGGATTTACATAATGGCATCAAATATTTAGCAGAGCTGCAAGTACTGAGTCTTACCAATCGATTAAGCCTTTACTTGTTGCATAAAATAATGGATAAATGCCAGTTGAGGTTTTACTATTGATATTACATTTTAGACTGTTCATCAAGTCTCAATTACCCACAAACTCCTTTGTTCATTATATGTTTCACACAATGCATTCATGTTAGGATTCATTTCACCGTTTCATTTGATTATTTACACTTTTACAGCCCTCTGTACTCTGCAGTACATTTTTAAGTGTATTTCATGAAGACACACAACAAACAGGCTTCAAAGCACAGATATTATAATTTGAGTTATATTTTGGAAATCAAAGTAGGAAAATACACTGTCACAATAAAAGCAGCACGTCTATATCTCGCAGACGGCATCTTATGTTGCTAATTTTAGCTCTATAATAACACCTAATGTTTTTTTGCAGCCTCACGAGTCTTAACTGAATGAAGACAGCAAGTGGATAACTGCCAAGCACTTAAGCAGGGCAGACTTAGCCTAAATCCTTCCAAATTTAAATTTTACTTCGCTGCTTATTCTAACTGCGTGAGCTCGTACATCTGAAAAACAAAAAGGATACCCCCCTCATGACCCAGTTGAGATGAGCTGGCAATAAACTCTGCCAAAATCAGAGGCATTAAAATGATCTTTATTTGCACCCATTTCCACTTCACTGGATGGAGGATCCGGGCAGATTAAAGATACAACTGCTTTTCGGCCTGTGTTCTGTAGCAAAATCATCTGTGGAGCTACACAGTCAGCGTTATGCCTCACAGGAGGTGTGATAATCTTATTTTAAGATGCGAATCCTCGCCAGTAATATGACGCCGACTGAAGAACTTCAGCCTCAAGACAAATGGACATTTGGTTTCCTTTGACGATGATAGGACAAAGTCGAGTGCTATCACCTTGATGCTTAAATCTCATTACACGCCCACATTCCCGTATACCTCCTCGTTAAGTACCTACTCTCCTGCTTTGCTCGTTTTATAAATACAATTTGATAGTCATACCATTCCGACTTCATTCCATCCCATCCATCTAACTTCCTAAACAATCCGTCTAAACTGCCTATGCAGCATCCAACAAATTCTGCTATGTGTCTCTTTGCTCAGGATAACTACAACGGCAGCATGTATGATGGATCTCAGGAGGTACCCGTTGGACGAGCAGAACTGCACTCTGGAGATAGAAAGCTGTGAGTAGAGGACCGAACGCTGTCAGGACCGACTGTTGGCACAATGCGCCGGCTGGCAACTGAAATTACAAAAAAATGACACATTTCGAGCTACAACAAAATTTGAGTATGACGAAACGGTTGATATTTGATGCATAGACCAAATGCAAAGAAGCTGTGTCCTTCATATACTGCGGGAGGGGAGCCAGGGAAGTGTAGGGAGGTGTACGCCCCGTAACGGATACCGCACTATTATGAGTATCAGTAACAGGAGCACCTTCAAGAGTATTTCTTCAAATTTGTTGCTAATAGTGTCTGTGCTAGAATAAAGAAAAAAGAAAAGCTAGGAAATGTCAGCTATTTTTGCAAATCTTTTTACTTTTCTGTGAACTCGAGTGAACCTGTTGACTCGCTTGCGTTCAAAGCAACGTCTCGTTCCTGGAAACGACTTCAAACGTGCTTCTTCCCGAATGACAGCCCAGTTGGAGGATCAGCAACACTGCATATCTTGGTCTCCTGTGATGGTTAGACAGATGGTAACACCTCGGTGCATGTGTGTGTGTGTGTGTGTGTGTGTGTGTGTGTGTGTGTGTGTGCGTTTCTACTTGTGCAGATGGCTACACCACGGACGACATCGAGTTCTACTGGAAAGGAGGCGAGACGGCGGTAACCGGGGTGACGCGGATCGAGCTGCCTCAGTTCTCCATCGTCGATTACAAGTTGGTCTCCAGGAACGTCGTCTTTTCCACAGGTAAATGCTCTCCTGCGATGTGTAACACGCGACGAGGGGGGCACCAAGTTTACAATCACATTGTTCATATCGAGCGTTGGCCTATTTTCAAGCTGATTATTTAATCAATTTCTCCAGCAAAGAAAATCTGTGCCAAAGCTTGATCTATTGATCTAAAATCCTCAGAGCCAAAGTTGTGTTTGTCAGAGCCTCTAATTGGGTTGAAGTGAGAAAATGCGTCGCCTTTGAAGTATCCCTCAAGTAACAGCAGCTGATGCAAGGATGCTGGAAAGGTCCTGCAGCAAAAACATGATGCGAAGTCTGGGATTTACAAAGCAAACTGTGTCCGTGTCGGGTGGTCCTGACTTTGGAATGAATAGTAGACTCCCAGTCAATTAAATCAGTGTGACACAAGCAGGTGATATAAAAGCTTCTTCACCCTCAAAATAAATTCCAATGCAATAAAACTCTTGACAACAAAGTGGAGAGTAGCGTAACAAAGTAGTATCTCAATGGCCGGCAGCAAACATTGAACATTGAGTGCCAGACACAGAACTTTGATGACGCTCTCTAATCGACTGCCATATAATCTGCTCAGCGGAAGCTCATTTCAGGAGGCAGCTTCTTCGAGGCCATAGCGTTTGACGTTTATTAATAACAGAATTTCTGACAGAAGCTATGCTCACGAGAAGGAGTCTGGAAAAATAAGAGCAGATCATTCCTTTGTTTGCTCTTTTGGTTATTTTTAACACTTCTTTGGGGCTGCTTACCCCCCCCCCCCCCACAAGTGCCTCACTCTGAGTCGCCCTCCTCCCGTAGTGTTGCCGTGTGCTGCATTCCGTTAGCCATCAATCCTGGCTGCATGTGTGTCTCTGCCTGTGTGTGTGTGAGTGAGTGCACTTGTTTTAGAGAAGTGGCACCTCCCCTGCGAGTGGGCACGATTAAAGTTTGGTGTCCTGCTCCCCTGCTCTTGGCGGGATGTGTGAAGCACATCAAAAGGTGGGGAAGCTTAATGACCACATTCCCTCCATGACCGGGGGTCAGCCTTTTAATTCCCTCCCACCTTTTCACCCGCTTCCATCGGCCCCGTCCCGACATCGCTTCTCTCACTTCCCCGGCCGTCTTTATTATACATTTTCCTCTCGTAAGAGGTGTTGTCGGGTTCCAATTACCCTGCTCCCTGACAGAAAAACAGCCCAGGATTCAGGGCATCGTACATTCATGTGACCCACAACATCAATTATTCTCCTCCAAGTACACACACAATATTGTCCGTTTGAGTGTGCGTGCACATCAAGCAAGTCTGTGTGCAAATGCACGTGGGACTGCATAACGCTGGCGCGTTAGGTGACATTTAAGTGTGTTGTTTTGCGCGTTGTGTGCATTCATCAACGTCTGCCGTCAGCTTTATTGTCTTTGTCCTCCCTGAGATCTTCAATAAGAGAGCTGCAATAACAGTCTTGAATAAATATTTAAGCACATCTATATTTCATGATTTTGATGTAATTTGACAGAAAATTCCTTAAATATTCCCTCACATATGAAGGTTTTAGAAAACATGTAATGCTTCCAAAACAGCTTTTGAAAACTTGCCCTCTAATTAATTAAATATAGCATTGCCGTTCATTGGGTGGATGCCTACAGCGCTAGCACGTAGTATATATAGGAGGTTTACAGTATGAGGCAGATGAATCACTCAAATCATTCGCCTGCAGATAAAAAAACAAGCAAATACTTCTTTAGCTAAAAAACCCAGTTGACTTTCTAATGTATTTGGCTCATTTTATCACTTTTAAAATCTTTTAAAAGAGGTCTTAGAGATTCACTCAATGTGTACATCCAAACTACCAAGGCTCAACGTTCATGTCCAAGGCAAAACGTCAGCATTTAGAATATGTTTTACTTTAAAATAAAACCTTTTAGGAGGAGTACTTGGCTATCTTGGAGTTTTACAAAATTTCCTGTTGCTGGTTTGCCTGGTCGTCCTGCAACTTTCATCCCCGCGTCCCCGTCTCCTCTCCCTTTCGCGCTCTCCGCCCCCTCGCCCTCACACATGGCGTCCCTCCCACTCGCGGCGTGTTGTTTTCGGTGTAGCAGTTACAGCCGGTACAGTTCCACACCCACGCACGACTGAACCTCGGCCTACTCGCTGCCTTCCACCACTTCTTCGTCCACTGCAGCGCAGAGAGCCGATTCAAGGCTGCAGGAGCTTCCATTCAGGACGCATCCAAAGGAGTGAATGGGGTATTTTAAGACCTGCGACATTCTGTTCCCACATTCACAATATAATGGAAGTGCATGTTTAGCGTGTGTGATGACTTTGTTCTCGGCTGGCAGACTGTTAACCACGAGCAAAACACAGGAGGATCATCTGACGTGTTAAATAAGGAAAAGCTGGCATTATGCACAGCTTTGTATGTGCTTTATAATGAGCAGCTTAGTAATACGCTCGGCACTGAGCTGGTCTTCGGCTTTACGGCTCAATTGTCCAAAGTCAAATATCAGGCAAATAGATTTGCTTTTCTATGCTTTTATCTCTTTACCATACACAACATTACATCTATTCGGGTCTTGGACTATTGGTCGGACAGAACAAGACAATATTGAATAAGCAATACATGAAATATTGGACCAGGTTGTAATATAACATTTTCTTTTGCAAAAACTAAAGGGGAATTTAGAGGCAAATGCCTGCGACAATGTACAGGATAACATTACAGCTAACACCTAATTTCTTCTTAAAAGGATCCGGATTTTACAATTAAATCACAGATATGTATAGACGGGGAGCTTATTGTTAAGGCTCATTAAATAGTCCTTTAACCATGCAGATAAAACTAAGTGTGTTTTACATCTTGAGAACGGTGCTTCTTTAGTGCGCTTGTCTTTCTCTGAGCCATTGATGGGTTAGTTTTATCTTGATTTTATTCCTCCGAGTTCCACTGACACACTGATAAATCATGTCGACTATGCTGCTCATGCAAAAATACCCCCCACTCCTTGGTTTATTCCAAACAAAAACCATATATATCTATATACTGTATATATTCTATTGCAATGTATCAAATAGGTGAGACATTTCTTGCCAAACAGCAAATGCTGACATGAAAGGAAAAGTAAATGCTTCCCCAAAGTTTGCAAAATGAAGTGAAATGTTAGCCAAACGTAATGCCACAAAAACAACATAACTAACTACAAAGGTAGACCGCACATCTCATCCTCCTGCAAATTCCCTGTGTTCGGTGATTAAATGACTTCATCCCCCAGTTTTCTAATCTCTAGACACCAAAGGGAACCTTTTCCTTTAAAAATCCGTAAAAAGCAAAATCGTATTCAAATTAGAAAACCAGCAGCGATGCTTACAAGCCATCGGCTCGAAATCATCCTATTAAACACGTCAGGATGACTGGGAAAGACAAAAAGAAACCCACCAGGCTGATGGCTACAGCAGCGCTTGTACTGGTAGTTAGCCAAACACATGGTCAGTGGCACCAAAGAGGCTGTAGATTTTGAGGAAGTGTGAGTCACCGTTTCCGAGAGGGGTCCTTGAGCATGCGCGATGTAATGCACTTTGGTGTAGCGGAATGGGAGGGCCCTCAATCAGCGGCGCGTTGACACCAGCGACCGATCACATGATTCCACCAGCGGAGGCAACGCACACGTTTCCCACATGGACCCACATCTCTCCCGCGTTTGCCGAATGGCTGCGAATGTCGGTTGCATCAGTCAGCAGCTTCCAATAACAACATTTGATGAACGGCCCAGTTGCTTTAAAATTACATCGTGGGGATTTTATTCCAATCTAACTGACAGTCGGCAGCGAATCTTTATGAGGCCGCGTGCCTCTCCGGAGTGACTCTCGGTGCAGATCTGCACACAAGGGCGCCGTTGATTGGACCCACACTCGCCACAAGTAGCTGGGCTGGAAATTAAAGTGAAATGCCCCCCCACCCCACAGCTCTCCTCCAATAGGAAGGGCAAGTGGGAAAATATCAAAGAACAGTGGGAGTAACGAGCCATAGATTCACGCCATAAACGGATAAATGTCAGAAGAGAAATCTCACACATCCCACCGTATTCAAGCACACACGCGTACAGTCTGCTGTTTGTATTCATGGTCATGGAAATGTAATGACAGAAACGATACTGGTTCCCTGACTTATGAAGCATCAGAGCCACTGCTTCATGCATTTAGAAAGCTATTATTCCTGTTCGGATGCAGAATATCTCAAAACCAACGCATGACCTATGGAAATGGTTGAGAATTGATGAAATGCACTGAAATCTTCATCCCCATCTTAAATATTGTGTCGCAAGCGAAAACAGCGTTACAGTCGTGTGCGTGTGTGTGAGAGAGTTGGTGTGTGTGGTGACGGGGATGCTTGTTACCATGGCAATAAATCCAACCCATGCTGTCGAAGTAGTCATGGAAACTGAAACAAAAACACAAGGTATCGCTGTGTCCTCCTATGTGTAATATAAATTGTATGTTTTTACCGTCAACAATGAAATGTTTTTAATCTACGCAACAAAATGTGTTACTATAGATACAATGTATGTACTGTGATGCTTAACACTGGCGTAACGTTGTTATTTCTGGACCAAAAGATCTAAACTCCCTGCTTCGCTCTTTGTCTCAGGTGCCTACCCTCGACTGTCTCTGAGCTTCAAGCTAAAGAGGAACATTGGCTACTTCATCCTGCAGACGTACATGCCATCGATCCTGATTACCATCCTCTCCTGGGTCTCCTTCTGGATAAACTATGACGCGTCAGCAGCCAGAGTGGCTCTAGGTAAGAGGCCCCGGCTGTTATCGGGCAGGTATTTGGATTTCTAAGATGAGATTGGGTACCAGAATGAGCCACAACCTCCCTGACTGGCTGCTCCTCCTGCGGTGGAATTAGAGGGAGCTTTGGGGAATGGTTTGTATATTGGTGGAATAAATGGAAATGGATTTGTGGGGAGAAAAAATAAAACAAAATCCCCGTTTTCTATGGGCATATGCTAATGAGTTTTAGTTGAAGATATAATGCGGCTGAAATACTGATACAAGCTGGTCAAAATGGGTCGTCCATTTTGCTTTTCCGTGGGGCAAAAGCAGAAATACACAACCTTGACTGGGACTAAACCGGGTCATACCTTTTGTCTGCTGTAGTTGTGGTCACTGAAAGGCCTCCTGGAGCTATAACCACCTCTAATCAGCATAATTTCACTTCTTGTTCGGAGTGCTGTGTGCGGGGGGCCTCTCAGACCCCACGGACCCCCGTGAGCAGTAAACAAGGCAGAGAAGGAAGCAGCAGGTCCCTGCTTTGTAATCACTGGGATTCTTCCCAGGAGATTGCAGCACAGTTATGTCTCTGTAGTTGAAGATGGCATATAAGGAGCCATGGAATGTAATAAGAAGCCATTCTCTTACGGACGGACCATTCCATGCATGATTAGTATCAAGGTAAATTGGTGGTTGACCATATGTTAAATCATCATCACCATCCAAAAGAATGTCCAAAAAATGAAACATTCTGGGTTAAATTTGTCGATGTCTCTTCACTCAGAGGCATTTACGCAGTTTAAGAAGTCAATCCCCGTCAAATCAAAAGTGGCTCAACAATTGACACACGGGGAAAATTAGGTAACATCCCCGGGGGCATTAAAAGCCCCACATTCGCTGTGTCAGTTAGTTTGAGGTAATTTGAATGTAGTCGTATAATGGAGCTTCCGAGTTTGCTGTGATAACATGCTTAAGACTGGGAGGGCCAACAGGGGCCCAGCATTAAATATCCCATTCAACAGTTCAATCTGGCCATACCAATTGACTGCTGTTTTGGCCCTCAAATCATCTTTAAATTGACCGATAAGGGAAGAGGAATGACATAATACTGCTTCCTGTTAGAGACGGCAATCTTGAGAGAATCTTTGTGAGTGTGTGCACGCCTCTGCACATAGATTTAGCAGCTTTATCTCCCCTGCTATTTGCCAGCCTCGACTGGTATTTTTTGTGATGGCACGTGTGCATTTACTGGCCATTCGCAGCGTGTACTTTATGTTTGTGTGGTCGGGGTAGTGTTTGCCTGAAGTCCTTCTAACTGCAATATCCGGCGTGTGCCTCTGCAGCCGAGAGGCAACCGGAGGGTCCATTCACTTCTCCTGATGGATCATTACAAGCTTTCAGCAGGTGCATTCTGCAAGTGGTGTGTGGGCATTCACATGCATGCCCACACACATCTGCTATCTCCCTTCTGCGCGCAAACCAGCCGGTAAGAGCAATGTAATGATCGTGAGGAATCAATTCAAGGAGGCAGCAGGAAAACAATCGAATTGTTTGAAGGAGAATCTCATTTTCACGAGCGGGTCCGAAGGATCGCCCAGTTACAGATGACTGGCTCGCTTGCTAATCTGGTTCCGAAACCATTTCCATCCTCCTGCTCACTCGCAATCGCATTACGCAAACAGTCAAGGTGTGGTCACGACCCGTAATTGGTGCACGAGCACTTCAAGTGTAACGGCAGAGCTACAAGTTTGAGTTGACCGTATGTTGTTCCGGTAGCTCCCCCCCGTCCCCCACTTCCTCCTAACTGCAGCTTGATAGCTGCCAATTTGTGAAAAATAGATGCGTTCAATTAATGTGGCTCTGATTTACACCGTGCCTCACTTTGCATCCAACATAACCCACATAACCAACCTTTTCCCTTTCATAATCATCGTGGTCCTAATGGCCTTTGTTCCTGCAGTGAAGGCGAGAAAGTGATCGGTTAAAATGTAACAAGAGAGAGGGGGGGAGGAGGAGGAGGACGGAAAGAGGGAAAAGCACCATGGTGGTGATGGTGAGATCGTGGGAGAAAGGTAAATGTTGGATACACAAATGGGGGAGAGGCAGAGACAGCCAACAACAATGGGACCGGACGGAGAGAGTGGATGAGAGAGAAGGAGAGTGAACACAAAAAGAAATCTCTCCCCGGAGAGTGAGGCTGCGTGATGAAAAGGGAGGGAGGCCCATGGGCGCATGGCCCCTTGATTAAATTGTCCAAACGGGGGGACGAGGGAGCAGAGGAGCGGCGGGGAGAGGAAGGGATGGAGGGGGGGAGTGTGGTAGTGTGGAAGGAGGGAAGGAAGGACGGAGAGTAATGGCACAGCTGAGAGAACACCTATAAAGAACAAGGCTGTCGTTAAGCAAAAAAACCAATAGGGGGAGAGAGGGCCGCACACACACACGCACACACACAGACACACACACACACAGCCTTGTAATGTGCCAATAAATCACACTATGAGCTAGATTGACCTTAGCAATCTCGCTCCTCTCAGCCCCACGACTGTTCCTTGTCTCTTCACTGCACTTTATTGCGTATGCGCACGCACTCCTAAAAGCCTCGTCCGCGTGTGCTGCACGAGCCGGCGGGCCACTGACAAGGTGGTGGATATTTATCCACCGCATGTCTATTATTAGATAAGACATAGCGATTATTGTGAGGCGGGAGGTCGTGGCTCGCGGGACTTTCCGCGACTTCTGAAATGCTCGCTGTCACCGGGAGACGGAGGCGAGCGCCAGCTACGAGAGCCGCGTGAGTAAAAAGCTGAAAGGTAAAGAAGAAGAATAGCTCTGTGCAGCAGCTTCAGTTTCAGTTGTCTTAAACTTGAAACAGTAGATTGAGCTCTCAGGGCCTCCTTCAGAAATGTGCCGTAGCCAAATTGATTCGCCCTGATCCATTCGTCTGAGATTGCATCTCACGAGTGTCCATCTCTTTCTGTCAGGCTGAAACATACAAAGTGCGAAGGTGCCTTTGCTGTGAGACGTGAAATGAGCGTGTGTATCTCCTGTGTGTGTCCCCTGTGTGTATGCCCTGTGTGTATCCCCTGTGTGTATGCCCTGTGTGTATCCCCTGTGGTTAAGGTTACCAAGACCTGGAGGCCAGATACATGCAGATCTATTCTCATGTGTTATTTCTGCCTGATGACCAAAGGCCAGTTGGAGGTTTTAAGGCAGACCTTTTTGGAATTTCAATGAGGCAGATGTTATGCCCTCATTACCAGGTTGTGTGTTTGTGGAAGTAAATTAACATCAGACATTATTATTAGAGCGTTCAAGCAACATATTGTGCAATTTCAGAGCTTCCTTTTACTCCACCGGGTCCTAACTAGCAAAGGAAATGGCCACAGAAGAAACACGTTTTCTTTATAAAAATATCCCTGTTGACCATCCGGTGGAGTTTTTCTCCGACCCTAAGGTTACTGACGAGGTGGCAGCATCTGCCTAGAATCACAGGGGGTGCTTATGATATGACATGTTTGGACTAATTAGGCATCAAATAAAACAGCCCACTTATATTGGATGAACTTTTATTGTTTAAAAAGGCCTTCTGGCTCATGCCAGCTCCTCCTGTGTTTTTTTTACGCTGCGTCGGGCACAATGAGACTTTGCAATGATTGCCTTTTTCCCCCGTTATCTAAGGGATCACCACGGTGCTGACGATGACCACGATCAACACCCACCTGAGGGAGACGCTGCCCAAGATCCCGTACGTTAAGGCCATCGACATGTACCTGATGGGCTGCTTCGTCATGGTCTTCCTGGCCCTGCTGGAGTACGCCTTCGTCAACTACATCTTCTTCGGGAGGGGTCCTCAGATGCAAAAGAAGCTGGCGGAGAGGGCGGAGAAGGCCAACAACGAGCGGGCGGCCAAATACGACGCTGCGAGGGTGAGCTGAGAGTTGCTGGCTGTCCGCGTGTGACGTGGCTCCTCATACTGTCAGTGGATGAGTGGATTGAATTAGGGTATAAGTAAATGAATAAATGACTGCATGGCTATGACTATTTGGTTATTTCCACAGGAATTCACTGTAGAAAAGACAGAGTCTTAAGTTGATCCTCAGATTCCTTCACTTTTCTCCCTTCGAGTAGGACTTGAATGATGAAACAGCCTCGACGTTCCGCCTTGACAGCAGAAGCAGCCAAATGAAAATGTTGACATTATCTTCTGTATCCCACACGGAGGCTTCACAAGGGAAAATGTGTTGGGTTGAAAAACAAAAATCAAGTTTCCGGTATTTGTTCCCCACATGAATATTTTCATCTCCCCAGGAGGCAGGTAGTAGGACCGCGTCCCTAAAGCGGTCCAATCAGGTTAGAGGGCTTCGCCACTCACGCTCGGTGAGTTGTTTGGTCACCAAGACGCTTCAACATCCTTGAGTCAACTCTGCCATTGCCATCAGCTGACATGGATGTTTCTCTTTTTTTCTTTTTTTTTTTGCCGTGATGCAAAAATCTTCCCATCCATGGAATGAGTCAAGCAACAGCAGACATCTCCATGACATTGCCATATTCTCAGGAGTGTTCATGTTGACTCTGACTTCTTCGTTGCAGTTCTTTCTGCATTGAAATGATGCTCATGCTCGATCGCATTGTAAAAGTGGTGTTTTCAGATACATGGCGCCGGATTTCTCCTTTCAGAGGTCACCCAGAATGCATGCTGTCGGTGTCCTTTCTGTTTTGTTACTGTGATGATCATCAAAAGCCATATTCGTCACACGGCTCTCACAGAGTGCCATCAGCGGGTACTTACTGCAGAGGTCCACCATTTAGGCACCTTTGCTGCATTAGTGCCAGGATTGCAATTACTGTTAAACTCGGGCAACATTTATTGGAACATGAAATAATAATAGTAAAAAATGCTATGTAAGCCCACTGGTTTTAAAACAGTTATTTGGGAAGCAAATATAAGACTTCATTTCATACAAAGTCAGTGAACCCCCCTTCCTGGGCCATTTCAAATATGCAAAAGCAGAAATGGTGGGACTTCCGTATTTGCTCCACTTGCATGAATGATCACCGATGTCCATTATTGTTGATTTGTCCTGCGGTACACACATCACAGGCATGGAGTATGATGTGTGTCCTATATGCTTGATTCAATTGTTGAACGTGATGATGGGGGCTCACATCACGTCAGACCCCCGGACAAATAAATAAAAGAATCTTCACGCGCTGTAAGGGTGGTGGGGTGCAGGTTGTCGCTGGAGGCACCAACAAAGAAGACAAACGAATATTTCTCCTTCATTCCTCAATGTATCTTGTTCGTTAGTCATGCAGAGAAGCTGCATTATTGCACAAAAAGGCCATCTACTGATTGGATTAGATGGGCGCATTAGATCCAAGCCGTGCCTGAAACCGCTCCCTCCTCCACTCAATTACTTCTCCACGCACAAAAAAAACACTCTTCTACTTTGTTTTTGTGATGCACAAACTGATGACGATAAGAGTGCTCGATGTCTAAACGGCAAAGTGTTGAAACCAGCATCACAAACACCTGTCAAGTCGGGAGAAAGCACGACGATGAAACCCCCCCCCGACCCCCTCACTCCTCTTACACTCACATGCAAAACGACTGCTTGTTTTGCACCCCTTTGTCGTCATTTTGCACCCCCCTCGTAAATGTCTTCCGTCTCCTTTGGCGTCTTTCTGTAGATGTCGTGTGTCTCTTGGTAACCGGTTGCCAAGTGTTTGTGGTGGTTCGGGGGTCTCTGGGCACCGGGGGCTGTGGCCGGTTGGCCCGTTGGGTACTCCCCTCCATGACGAACTCCACATCTCAAGTCCTCTCTGGCGCGCTGCACGCATTTGCAGACAGTGTCACTCACCGGCCTTCTCGTGTCGTTGTCCTATCCAGGCGGAACCGCACGGGAACATCCTTCTCACCACCCTGGAGATCCACAACGAGGTGGGGGCGGGCGAGATCACCACCAGCCTGGCGGACATCAGGAACTCTCAGTCCATGGTGCAGCTGGACAGCACGGCCTCGTCGCACATCCAGTACCGCAAGCAGAGCGGCGGGATCGGCCCGCGCTCCACCAGCCGGCCCTCCCTGGACCGAGCCGCCCAGATGAAGCGCAGCCGGCTGCGGAGGCGGTCCTCGCAGCTCAAAATCAAAATCCCCGACCTGACGGATGTGAACGCCATCGACCGCTGGTCACGGATCATCTTCCCTTCCGTGTTCTCACTGTTCAACCTCATCTACTGGCTCTACTATGTCTGATTGGACGGTTTTTGTTGAGATGTTCGTGGTGGTTTGTTTGATTTTTGTTTTGTTTTTTTGTTTCTTTTTTTCTTCCTTTTTATTTTGTTGCTTTTATATGTTGATTCTGTCAAGTTAAAGACTGCAACACTTTGAGACGAAAAAAAAAAACATATGGAGAAAAGGTTTGTGAGTCTTGGACCAAGTTCTTGTAAAAATTGTTTTTACATTTGAAGTGTAATTCTTAGTACCAAGTTCTTTGTATTTAAGTATGTACTGTAATTGGGACTTGTGACAGTCACTTTCCCAACATTTGCCCTCTCACCACCAGGTGTAAATAGAGAGACACGAAAGCCAGCAATTGAATACACGAGTATTGAGTATTTGCAACAAAAAAACCTACACAATTAACACTTAACGCAGTGATTTTTGTAATCAAAAAAGGAACTACGGAACCTTTATCCAACACAGGTGGTCAGATGAATGCAGGCAACTCCTAAAAGTCCATTAAACAAACTAACGTATGTTTGACTGGTATCCTATGCACTATTAATGCATGCAATGATCAACCATAATGGAAAAATAATAATGACTCCTCTTCTGCCTTGGATTCTGTCACAACAATACAGAACCCTGTTGATTTGTTTCAGGCGTTGATCTGGTAAACTTTTACCCAAACACAATAATTTAAGGACTTTCTCTTCTGTTCAGCATAACTGTGACTCAGGTTCTGAATCTTTTGCTATTTGACATCTTGTTCTTGACAAAGAAAAGGGTCACTGAAATATTCCTTTTTGGTAATTTAAAAAGGAACAAAGAAAGCACAAACGCAAATAAAACTGCCATTTTTTCAGCAACAGCGCTTGAATCGATAGCATGACAGAATTGCACTCAAATTGATCAAACTAAAAAAAACGGTCTTATTTCATTTAAAACAACTGCCAAGGGCCTTTTTGGGCGACATACTTACTAAACCCATGAAATATTATGATATTTTTGTACTCTGTGTGTATCAGGTATTCAGTTGATGTTGCTAACCCTTGTTTTTTGTTTTTGTTTTTGCTCAACACAATCTCTGGTGATTGTGGTCTCTACATAGGTGTGTACATACATATATATGTATAAACACACATCTTTGTATATATATAATTGGTGTACAACCCAAAATGAAAATAACCCGAGCATTTTGTGATTTTCATACTAATTGTCAAAATATTTAGTGCAAAAAAAAAAGTAAAAGAACACCGACCGTTTCGAGCATCGGTTCGGTTTTAGGTGTAACGTCTCCTCGTGTTGGAATCCACTCTAGACGCCGCGCGTGTGTTTCACGCAGACGGACAGAGGGAAACCGCCCCGTCGACCCAATAAGCACACACTCGCGCTGAATGTACCAGATCCGTTCTTCAGGGAGAGGATAATGAGCCATGGTCATAATTTCTCCATCGGAATGTAACACGCCCATTGTGACGAGCTACCGGAGGGAAAGAGAGGCTGGCGACGGCGTTTTAAGAGCGTGTGCATGTGCATGTGTGTGTGTGAGAGAGAGAGAGAGATGGGAAGTGGGTAGGGAGAGCTGGAGAAAAGGACGGGCGTGAACAGACCATTTATTTTCCGCGCTGCTTGCCGGGCGGTGGACAAATGTCCACGTGTAATTGTTTTTGAGGATTAAAATGGATCTCCTTGTCCCCGCTCTCGATAGGCCGAGCAGCTCCACCCGAGGTCGCAGAGCCATAGAGCGGTTACACCTCGGGGGCGACGATGTCCAAATGTCATGGATACATGACGTACATTCACTGTGCATGTGCAAGAATACAAAGAGGAAAAAAAGGAAAAAATGCTACTTGTTAAAACTGAAGTTCAAAGTGGGGATCAATTTAACAAAGAAGTTCTACGTGTACAGAGTGATTGATATGAACTGAATGTATTTGGATTGTTGCTGCACAAATGCAATTTTCTTTTTTCTGGACTCAAAGTTGACCTTGATTAGGGCTCCAGTTGAAGCCACATTGGAGTGAGCCCGAGTTTCTTGCTGGTTTCTTGTCCTGTTTTCTACTGTGTAGACGGGGCGTAGTGCCCAATAAGGTCCGGGTCCAAAGCTCCCCTTATAGATGACATAACATTGTATATGATAAGCCAAAACATCTTGTGAAAGGTGTGTTTAGAAAATTCCTTGTCACTATGCGTCGCTTGTGTTAATTTGTGTGTGTGTGTGTTTGTTCCCCCCACCAAGCAGCCTCTGTACCCACCGTACGCTGGCGGCATGTTAGCTAGCCTAATGGACGTGCTGGTTCTGCCGTTTACTCCTATGGGATCCCTGCACCCCCGACCCCTCCCTCCCCCCGACCCCCTCCCCCTGAAGGCTCTCTCAACTCGTACAGTTTTCGTGTCAAGTCGCGTTACTCCGTACATGTTGTGTAAAACTGCGGGGCGCCCGAAGAGTTTGTTTGTTTCGCATTCAAGGTCCTCCAGGCCTTGAAACCCTGGTGTGGAGTAACTCTCAGAAAGCAGTTTGAGAAGCTTGTGTAAATAAGATATAACAATGGTGATTTTTGGGACGCTGAAGCGAGGAGAAAATTACTTTTTTTACTTCCTGCACCACTCGCTGATTTAAACGAGTACTTCTGGGTACGTTTTTTGCAGCTTTGAGCCATTATTTGAATCACCGAACAAAGAAGGCAGTTGGAAAGCGAATGTGACGGAAACCCGATACTTCTTTATAATGCATGCGACTACAATTCTTAACTTGGGTAGATTAAAAAAAGATATATATATATATATTTTGCGAAAACTCACTCGTGGGAGCTGATGACATCACATGTTATGCCATGTGAGCCTAAAAAAAAGAAAAAAGGAAAAAAAAAATATACAAAAAAAAGTCATCAAAGGCTTCAGGTGTTGTTTGGCCTTGGTCCCATAATGGAATGTGAAATGTTCTGTGCTGCCACAAAATGTATTTAGGCTTAGATTTATACCGTATATCTGTATGTTTCTCTTCCTTTTTCAATAGATTATCATGTTAAACCATCAAATAAATTATACATTGTACCCGTGTATTTGGTATTGCGATCATGCATGACACTCCGTAAAGAATCTGCATATACGTACATGTGGAGGGAGCGAATGCAGCAAACAGCCATTTACGACACACAATATCATTTTGATAACATGTCACCTGTACTATGGCGTGTCTCCTCTTCGACTATCCTCGTGCCCTTGAGCAAGGCACTTAATCTCTTCCTGTTCCAGTGCAACTACACAGTGACAGCTGAAGACTTTCATTCCCAGTTGTACAACCTTTGTGTATGAAGTGAACTTTATGAATGTGTGCCAGAGCATTGGTAAATAATAGTACAGTAGCTCCCATCATAAATAAAAATAAAAACAACAACAACAACTGTGTGGGGTCGGAGGTTATTTTGCTCGTTATCCCCTACTTGAGAGCCACAAAGTTCATCATTCATTTAGTGACTTGTGATTATGAATTAGTATTGTTTTTTCTAAGGTTATATTAGGAACTCAAGTATTAAATATAATTAATGTCTGACATTCAACCAATCCGATTCGATTTTTGCCTCTGTTTACTTTTTGTCCCTCGTATTTAGTTTATTACAAAAAACAGCAATTGTAGCTTTCACATGAATCGTATTGTGGTGTGAGCATATTAGAAGAATAGTAATGCCTTGCTGTGCAGATTTACAAAGAGTTTCCTGCTTTGCACCTAATCATTAGAATTAGGCCATTAGAAGGAGGTCAGAATCATTTCTCATTTCATCAGCACACAACAGCATTTATACAGAACGTGGCAAAAGCACAAGGTGTTCCAGTCCAAAACAGATGCATTACTCTTCAAACCCAACTTGACATGTTCTGTGTTGTAAAACATTAAGTCGCTGCGTCAATGAGGAAACCCGACGGAATCTCGCACAATCTCCTCCCCCTCTATCTCAGGTAGAGGAAATTCATAATTCACACATTATTTATGCATAATGACTGAAGAAAAATGCTGAGTTTTGTATTCCAGTCGCAGCTCTGGCTCTCCACAGCAGGCGATATGAGCCCCCTGGGGTACCTGTGATTTTTAATCTCTTCCCTTTATAATGTATATGGGGTTCTAACCCTACGATATATGAGATGCTGTTTATCATTAAACTAATCATTAAAGAATATCATAGTTCAGCAGTTTAAAGAGGGTCATGGTGTGTGAGGCTGCTGCTGTTGATGACAGACTTTGTCTAGAGACGACCTTTGAAGATGCTACAATGAGGCCTGGCCAATCACGAGCGCTACGCGACGTGGCGCAGGAGTAGAGAGGGTGCGTCCAAACAGATAAATACCAACAGATGAATGAAGGCTTTCAGTTGATATCAAGCCCTTTCTCAGCCGGTTGTTGAGAGGCCGACAGAGATATTCATACAGGACCTCGCCGTGGAGGGGGAGCAAAAGTCAACCAAAGGTTATGGGAACAAAAAGACATCCGCCGCATCCTGATGCTGAAGCCTTAAAAAGTTACAAACGGTTGACGTGTGAGAAACTAGATTTATGTAAAGTGATAAGATGATAGATGGATAATGGGCGTGACATCGTTACCTAACCATCGTTATGATGAAGCGCACATGTTATGGGTGATGAACATTGTCAAAACGGCACACTAATCATAAGCCTCAAAGGGCTTCATGGGGGTGTAGTTGATGGTGGTGGTGAGATGCATTGTTAGGCACGACCTGGAGCTCAGTGGTTAATGACTTATTGTTTTCATAAAAGAGCAGCGAAAAAGAACATGAATATTTAATTGGTGTTATTATTTGAATTTCTTGTCCAGGACTTGTGTTGCTCGGATGGGGAAACGGGGTCGGAACAGCAGCAAATAATCTCGTACAACAAGACAGATGCACAAAAAAAGGAACCCGCGGGACAGGAATATATTTACTCTACGGAATATTCCTCCAACGAGCAACACAAAGAGTTACACAAGACCACTGCGGCGCTTTGAGCTGGATGCTAACAGTGCGGTAGCGGCAATGTGCTAACCTGCAGGTGGTTAGTAGCTCTTTTGTTGGCAAGTGACACTATTGCCAGCTAACAATCCCCTGGTGGGAATTTCAGTGCTTTTGACACGGCCTGTGGCATTCAGAGGCCCGGGAGGTAAAGCACCGCGGTGTTACGCGGCACTCGGAAAACAAGCCCTCGGCAGTCGCATAGCAACAGCAGCATCCGGGTGGGCGGGGCTCCTTCACATGCAGTCCGAGTGGTTACGGCCGCCTGGTAAAGACACCGGGGCCAAGCAGGGGCACCAATCAAGGTGGGTCCCCAAACCCTCACAGGTGACCCAAATAAACCGCCCTCCAAGCCCCCCCCAAAAAGAAAAAAGTCACGAGGCGGAGAGAGTTCGGCCCGCGTATCTTGTTGAGAAACTCGCTGAATGAATTCTTTCTGATGTCGTCTTTCTCTCCTCGCCTGCCAACTGACATACTTTCTTTTTTATTCGGCGAGCGATGGTGGGAGAGAGTGGAAGGGAGAACGGCAGGATGGGGAGAGAGAGAGAGAGAGAGAGAGAGAGAGAGAGAGAAAGAAAGTGTGTTTTCGGCATCAAACGCCCGTCTGGGAGACTGGGGGGAATACATTGACTCTTCCATGTGCTTTTTGATGATGCCTCTCTGCTGCGTGAACTCAGCGCTACACAACAGCAGCGCCGTGTTAGCCTACTTCTCCGTCTCCTCTTCCCACACTGCGTCTCGCCTGCTCCCTTTCCGTCACCAGGGCTCATCGCTCAGTCTCTCATTATAACAAGCTGCCTTCTATTCTGGAAGACACACTTCCTGGAATCAGCTGTAAAGCAGGCGCGGCCTGCACATGACAATAGCTGGGTGGCTGGTCCTGCCCACGGTGACACCTCAGCAAGGATCCCTCGCCCATGAAGTTTTCTAGAAGAGGGAACTTCACGTCCCTGAATCGTTAATCATTTCAAAGGACTGTTGAATGCCACAGAAGGTAGCATGTCCTATTATGTATGACCCAGAAACAACTCACTCGAGTCTTGAGTCACATCGGCTCGTTGCTATAATCATTACGAAAAGAAGCAAGCTCTTTGGAGATAGATTAGAGAGAATACTGACCACTGTTTTGCGCTGTCGAACAGAAGAGCCAGATGTTGTACATCTTTGAGGCTCAACACCCAATGAATGTTAACCATTAACTGAATGTGACATCTGTAGTTGTCTTCATCTCCGAGGGGAATGCAGCAGCGTCGGGCTATTTGACTAACTAGACAACATCATCCGAGGAAAACAAAATGTGTTAATTGGCTGTAAGTGACTGCGCGCTTATCCGCTCATCCCATAGGAACTATCGGAAATAACTACTTTTTAAATGTCACTGGGCCCAATCAAATCGTCGCCTTTTTGTTTTGATTTGCATTTGGCATTATATAAATATTTCATTTGTATAAAAATGCTCACTATTGTATTTAGGAACACTAAGCTATTATAGTGGTGCTTGTTAAAGGTCCCTATTTGGTGAGACGTATCAGAAGAAATGGTTGCTGGCGCGGGACTCACACGTGATCTGCTAAGTGGGTTGTTTTTCGGTTTGGAGATTTCGGATTGAGGAGAAGGTCGGTAGACGTGTGACTGGTCATAGCAGCTTATTCGATTAACCATATGAAACGCTGGTCATAACTTAAACGTCTCCTGTTTCTGTCACTGGCTGTAGGGTTTTGGGTGGTGATGATACAGACAGGCCTCATTTATTCCAAAGTCAAACTGAAGTTCTCCAACACAAAATGTAATGAGGCCGCTTCACCACGGTTTCATTAGGACTGAGCAAACTTTAAAACCTCTACGAAAATGACCATCTCCATAAAGTTACCAGATGTGATGGAATTATTCAAATCTCTCCCCTTCACATCCCCTTTACTCATTAGCATCTTAAATAATATTACTCATGAATTGTTTTGGGCAGACGACATTAACAGGCCTCACGTAATCATTTTTTCTCATGATTATTTATAAGAAGACAAGAATGTCACTTACGCTCACGCACCTAGCTTTTGGAGTGATTCTCATTTCCTATGTTCAGACGTTATCATCCATTTGCCCCCCTCTACCCCCCCAACACGCTCATTCCCTGGGCTCATTATAATCAGAACAAAGTGAGCGCTGGCTGCCGGGAAGAGCGTGGACACACAAATATATCTCGGTTTTAAATATCGCTAAATATCTCCCAAAAGGTTATCAAGTGTGTTTTATCATTTGGGTTGCAGCATTAATGAAATGCACACATTAGATGTCGGCATGTTTTCCTCTCACAGAGAATAATATAGGAGCAACATATTTAAGCTAAGAAAAAAATATAGTTGGATTTTTAAGCATACTTATAATATATAGATTTTAGCCGTTGGGTGTGTTTTTAAAGGAGGGCGAGATCAACAAAAGATCAAAAATGAATTCCCTTGTGTTTTCTGCCCTCTGCTGGGCGCTGTGAGAGCATACAGCGAGGCCTGCACCCAATCTGTCATGGGGGGGCATAACAGATTCACACGCCCACACACTGGTCTGCAGACACAGAGAGGCGTGTACGTGTGATTAATGTTCTCCGTTTTCACATCTCTTGCTAATTACCAGCTGCTTGTATCTCATACCGCCGGTTATTTAAAAGACATTTTATTCAGATAGAGCCGTAATTACACGTTCAATTACTCCATGTTTGTGGTTTGTACTTTGCAGGGGCCAATTTCAGGGACAGAGCTCCTGCTTATTTGTACTGTTCAATTACTGTCCTATATTCTCATATAGCCAGTGTTCGAGAGGCGGGCTGTGTGAATTCCCTCTCTGCAATTAATTCTGTGCCCTTTGAAAATGTGTGTGTATATATATATATATATATATATATATATATATATATAGCAACGATTGTTTGCTTGTGCATAATTAATTTTGTTGTTATGATGAATAAAAGTACAAGGCTTTATGAATAATGAATACAGAGTCACGATTGTATCTGTAGTTGATATCAAAGTTTGGTTTTAGGCTTTTAAATGATTCAATTGCGTGTTTTTTAAATTCAGAAACCCATCCTGGTGCAGTGCAGCGTTCATTACAGCCGCTCTCTTGCTGTTCAGTTATCAGTCATCAGCTTATTGCATGAATACAAAGGATTTTTACTTTCCACTCGACCGTGTTCAGCGTGGGGACATTTTGTTGTAATGGAGGGAACATCTGAAATGGTTTGTGCTGGGGATTTGACCACGCGGGTTGCGAGCCATTTAATCACTAATGTCCATTAGGATCCGGTCCTCTGCAACGATACAGAACCCTTCCAAACAACGCTCTACTGTGTATGCTGTGGGGACTGATTGATGATCCCTTTTGGAACAATACAAACGTACATTGCATTTTGGAAATATATTGAACTCCTCTACATGTTGCTGCTGATGTTCTTGGCAAAAACCAACGTCTCCTGTAACCGACGACCCCGCCAGCCTCCATAAAAACACCCGCCTGCAGTGAAATGGCAACGCTTTCACGGCCTAAGAACGAGTGTGCAGCAGAGACACCCACTGATTCTTTGTATAACACCTTTTTACCTCAAAATGATGTTGCCAAGTAACAACATCCTGATTGTGCAGCTTGTGTGGCTTGTGTGGCGGTGTGTGTGTGGGTGTGCGGGGGTGGATCGGTGCACCAGTGGGTGTCTTGCTGCAGGTGTGTTACAGCGATGGATGTGGTTAAGTGCCATTACTGGCTCTAAAAGTGGGGCTCTAACAGCAGCTGCCCAAATGACGTCCAGTCCTGTTTCCTCTCATGCAGGTCTGCTGCTTTAAAAAGTCGCAGGCAGGAACTCATTGATCACAACTGCCACGTATTAAACCTTAATGCTGCTAATGCCGCTGCCTCACAAAGAGGGAATGCGCTTTACATTGCAGAATTTCTGCACCTGCTTCTTTATATTTTAAATCACACCTCACATCTTGCTAACATTTTGTTCAGACCTCTCCCTCCCACTCTGTCTCAGCATGAGCTGCTTAACTGATACATGTACGACAGTAATCCCCTTCTTAGCCAATGGGATTAATATTTAATTCAAGAAGAGCCTTTTATCAATGCCGTGTTTCCCCTGTTTAGGGTAGCTTTACCCAGGTTTTGCCAAATCGAAGTGTGAAATGGATTGGAGCACAAGAGCATCGTCGAATGACTTTAAACAAGGTATCTGCACACCAAAAAAAACCAAACCAAAAACTTCTAAGGGCAATGCATCAAGGCAACACTTGCCTTCAAAATATTTGATATGCACGACATTCCCATCATTGCAGACCTGCAAAGACTTTCTCCGCGTTACATCTTCTTACTAACACCAAACTGTCCCTTTAAAGTCGATCCGTGTCTGAACCCTTTTTGTGCATCATCCTTGAAGCCTTCAGTGCTCGCATTCATGAACGTACCAAGAGCCCATTGTGCAGTGATCCACTGCAATGCTGATCCAGGATTAGCCCAGAGGCAGGAACACATGACGGAGTAAACTCCAAAACGAGATGACGACACCAACCCACCTCAAATATGTACATATATATAAATGCAGAGGAATTCCTATCAAAGCTGTTGGCAACATATTGCAGAGTACAAAAAAGCCCCCCCCCCCCCAGGCCTGGAACTGTTGTCCATTTGACACTGTCTGTGATGGCTGACAAATGATGGAGAAGTTGATTAAAACCGCATGGTGAGGTTGAAAGCTGCAGAAAAACTCTTTGTTCTTTTAACACAAATCATACAAGGCCAGATGTACGTTCTGTGTGCAGCAGCTCGCCGTGGTTCAGTGACGTCACTGGGTGGATTTTGGCTCCACCCAGTGGCTAATTTCTGCAGTTTTGAAAGAGCATTTGCGTCATCACGCTTTCTCAATCCATGGATTTCCGTGAACAACCATCCCCATCAAGTTAGCCACAGTCAGAGTAATACGCAGAAATGAGGGGAATCGCCCTTCAAAAGAAAACTGCTGAATCCGTCAAACTAGCTTTTAAAAGAATATAAGGAACAGGTTGTGATTTAATAGTAATGTATTTCCCCATACATGGGAACACAAAAGTATTACACCTTAAAAAATCGATTCTACAGAATTCATCAGATTCACAAAAACCTCCAGGACACTCTACACACTATATTGTACTTTTACATTTACTCAAGCACTGTACTTTACAACAGTTTTAAAAGGTAGTTGTTCTTCAATTAAGTATTTACATTTTAGGCTACTTTAGGGAAATATAGTGATATGTATGAGCAAAATATAGTACAAGACATACACAAATGCATATTAAACACAACACATAATGCAGCTTTAATTACCTACTTTAGCGAACCTGAACTTGACATTATGAAGATGTGATAAGGTTACTAAGTGTGATTCAATGTAATGCTATTCTATAAGTGCAATCATATATTAATTACTTTTGTACTACTGCGCAACTAAACGTTCGAAGGCAGAGCTCCCGGATTTCAAATGTCGCCAGTAATGAACAGATTATCACTATGGTGTCCTTTCTGTGGTGGGATAAAATGGAATCCCCTTCTTCAGACGTCTTATTTTGGAGTATCTGAAGGGAAGTGTGAGGCCGCGCGCGCGGCTTGACTCCCTGTCAACGCTTCAACGGACACACGGTGGGGTTTTTCTGATCGAGCGCACCGCAGACTGCAGCCGTCTCTGCCTCCGCTCCGCATCCTATCGTTCCCCGCTCGGCGTCTCTCCGTCGGTCACGACAGCTCGGAGCCCCCCGCTGGTTTTCTCCGCCGGTTGCTCTGCGGCTGGATCTCGTCGGGATGGACCCAGCCAGCCGGTACCGAGTGGTGAGTGAGCGCCGGCAGCATCAAAACACCGTCTCGTATCCTGGCCTGTCACAGGAAACGGGGCCTTGCCTTTGTATTATCTATATACATACAACTTATTATTTCTATGGCTACTCGACTAGAACGCGTTACGCGACGTAGACACGCAAAATACGTTTTATTTCCGGCTGTAATTCTGTTTAAATGTAAATCCTCAAAGGGTTTTTGTTGTGGCACTTCCGCATCGGCTAGGCTAACGTTAGCCCGAGTTATCTCGTAGGCCCTAAAAGTTGACCTCGGGTTAAAGTGCGTCACACGCGCGGTGGATCCGTCTCTGGGGGGGTTCGTTAATAACAGACGTATGACCGTGTTGCATCGGTCCTAGCAGATAATCTCATTGGGAAGTTCAGTTAGTTATTAATGGGAATATATACAAATCAAATTAAGGTTCCCAATAATAGAACTAATGCTATGTGGCTGTTGAGTCAAAATAAGTGAATATTGGGGCATTAAACATGCGTCAGCTGCTCCCATTTGATTTAAAATCAGTGCCTAAGATATTTTGTAATCAGTCAGCTTTGCGCTGTCGATCCCTCTGGTTTCAGTGTGAGCCGAAGCAAATCTAACAACAAGAGAATCAAGAATCTAAACAAATGTACCAAGACATTTCCTTTTAGACGATGTCCACTTGGTGTTCTTTTTTAGTAGTAACTTGAGAGTTTTTAGTCTGAGTATGATGGACGCGGTTATTAAAAAGGGTGTTTCCCAATTTGCGGTGGTGTTTTACCACAACAACCGATTTACCAACACAAAACATTCTGCTTCGCTGAACTCTCCTCTTTGACATGTGATTATAAACTTCACAGCTCATCATTATGACGGGCATAAATACCTTCCAACCTACTTGAACCGAAACAAAAACTGCAAAATGCATGAAGGCATTTGGCTCTAACAGGGTTGTGATGTTTGGTTTATCAACACGACTGAGCAGAATAACAGCGTACCGTTTCATACGGGCTTGGACATTGTGTTCTAGAAACCGAGCCGGAGCGCCGCCGCTTATCTGCTTCACTTGGTTGTTTGAAAATGAGTTTCACGGCCACATTGAGACGGCGTATGATAATACTTGGTCTGCATCATAACACTCGGGTGATCCGTGGGCGTTTATCTGTTAATTCTGGGTATCGAAGCGTTTGTGTTGTCTAGTGTTGACCTGATATTGGAGAATACAAAACAAAAAAGCCACACTGCCTGCGATCAGCGTAACTTTCTCAAGGGCCCACGCAGATTTCCCACCAACCATTCTTTAACCGCCCCGCTCCCGTCGGCCCTCTGTGATTCCAGAAGGAGCGCGGCTCCAACGTCTGGCAAAAGTACTCGAGACTGCCGCGGGGACGCTCACCAACCAATAGCATGTGTATCGATTCCCCAGAGACGTCCCTTTGTTGACACGCCGGCCAAGTCTCATGCGTCCTAGCAGAAAAATGTAACGCGGCCATTTTTATTCCAGCACACTTCTCCCAGTAGCAGTAATACTACGGAAATCGTAGACCTGGCCACAGCCAGTAAAAAAAAAAGTACTGCACAGAGGGGTAATTACACAACACAAATACAGAGCGTAAAACATACCACAAATGAGCAATGATAAACCCGTGATGGATATCTGTGAAGCGTGTTGCCCAGGTCAACCCCCATCTTGTGCTGACAAACAAACGGATTGCGCAAATCTCATTTGGTTACATAACTACTTGACATTAGTGCTGCGGTCAGAAAACAGTGCTGATGTCGGGCTTTTCCCCACTGCAATGGCCATATTTGACTTCCTTTACTTCTTAACATGTCGTGCTTTTACTTGCTCCATTCTGCAGAAAACACCAAATTTAGAGTGCAAACGTCTTCTGCAGCAGCAACACTTTTTGGCTGACTGGATCAGATCTGCTGGATTCATCTAACCCCCCCCCCCACCCACCATCCCTGTTTCATCTTCTCCTCCAGTTGCACAACGAGGAGGACTCTTCAGAGGCCTCCACCAGCGAAGAGCAGCCGTGCACTTCTGCCGCTGCCCAGGCCAGTATGTCCAGCCAGGCCCAAGTCGGCCCGGCGGCGTCAGGCACTCAGGAGGAGGCGGATGCACCTCCACCGCCTTACGCCTCCATCGAACAGGGAGCGGCTGCTGCAGCGCCAGGTACGCCCCAAAATCATTTTCCCAATTTGTCCAGCTACCGGCTCCCTGAAGGTGCACTCTCTCGGCTCAAACTGGATTTCTGTGACCGAGTCCCCCCCTCCCTGTCCCCACAGAGACTAGTTACCGGGTGGACTTCCCGGTACCTCCGCCGTACAGCGTCGCCACCTCGCTGCCCACATATGACGAGGCGGAGAAGGCCAAGGCGGCTGCCATGGCGACCACCGCCGTGGAGGTGATGCCACTGGTGAGGACAAAAAAAAATCCCCGCTCACAAACGTGCTCCTCACATCATCATTCCCCCTCCGTCTTGTCGGCTCCTTTTGACCAAAGTCTACCGGAGCGCTCTGGATTCAGACCCGGGTTACATCATAGTATTAGAACGCTGGTGTGGGTCGGCCTCACAGCACGCCACATTTCAGCGCCCCACCCAACCACACATGTAGGGACAAAGTCAATGTTGCCCAGTGTTAAGCTCAACATGGTCCGTCTGTGAGTGCAGGATGACGAATTCCCTCCCCGAGAGGATTTCAGCGACGCTGATCAGCTGCGCGTCGGCAACGATGGGATCTTCATGTTGGCCTTTTTCAGTAAGTCCCGCCTCCCGTTAGCGGCTTTGGTGCGTCTGTCAGAAATCGGAGCCGGGAGTCATTGTTTTCCAGCGTGATTCTAATGTTCCGCTAACGGGAATCCTTCTGCAGTAAGCTAAAGGATTCCTAATCACTCGTAGATTCCCAAAGTGCTTGAATTAGAAGAAAAAAAACAGTTACAGCCGAGTTAAAGCAAAGTGTACTCGTGCTTGTCATCCCCACTCCCCACCCCCAGTGGCCTTCTTGTTCAACTGGATTGGGTTCTGCCTGTCCTTCTGCCTGACCAATACCATCGCGGGACGCTACGGCGCCATCTGCGGCTTCGGCCTGTCCCTCATCAAGTGGATTCTGATCGTCAGGGTACGTTTACGGCCGTCTTCTCCCCTCACAGCTTTGCCAAGTTAAATTGAATGGGGGGGAGGGGTGACAAAAAACAGTACTTAAAGTTGCTCTTTGTCTCTCTAGTTCTCCGACTACTTCACTGGATACTTCAATGGCCAATACTGGCTGTGGTGGATCTTCCTGTTGCTCGGTGAGGCGCCGTAGTTGTGTTACGCGTTTCCTCATGAGGTCCTTCACCTTGTGGTAGTTGCTCTAGGTGGAGGTCTGCTGAGAAGTCAACTGTGCGTTTCCCCCCGCAGGTCTCCTGCTGTTCTTCAGGGGTTTCGTGAACTATCTTAAAGTGCGCAACATGTCAGAGAACATGGCCACGTCTCACAGAACGCGCCTCTTCTTCCTCTACTAAAAAGGTAAAGTGCACGCTCCTTTTGAAAGAAGAACAAACGGCAGGCCGCCGCTTGTCCTAATGATGATCTCCTGCAGGTTTCTACAGCATCGCCATTCTTCCCAGCCCGAGCCCCCTCCCCTCGAATGACCCGAGCGACAGGCCTTGCAGCGAAAAGAGAGGAGACAGCGAAGGAACCAAGGACAGGCGTAGGGAGGAAGTGTTACCAGTCTCATTAAAAGCAGAACGTGGTTTACTCTCAACTTCTAAACCTCCATCGAGTACCAAGTCCTTGATTAGCAGATCTCTTCTCTGGCTTTGTTTTTTTTCTTCTTTTTCCCCGTCCTGATACAACGCACTTAATGTACCGTAGTTAAATGAGGCAAATTCAGCCGAACAAAAAATGAGCAGTCGCAGGGACGTTAAATGAAAGCACAATGACACGACTTCAATGAAGGAAACACAAACGTTGCTGTTGTGTTTTCTGTAAACATTTTGGAACTTTTCAAAAAGGAAAAAAAAGAGCATGAAGTGGAAGCCCACTCCCAGCCTCTGATATTCAGACCTCCCCTCCGGCTTTGCATCCTGTTCTAGCTGCAGCACTTTTTTTTCTTTAGCACTAGCTTCGTCATTCCACATTCTACCAGTCTTATTTTAACAGTGATGTAGCAGCTCCGCGCCCTTTACTTCCACTTCGGCCCCTTTAAAAAAAAATCTGCAAGCCGAGAGTGAACGTGGAAGACTTTCATCTCGAGGCGCGAGACGGGGCAGACACGCGTTATCCGTTTACAGCTCACAGACCCCGAAGCTCTGGGTGTCTTTGAACCAAAGGCTCCTGGATGAGGGCGGCGCAGACGGTCGCTGAAACACTTCTCACGTTTTCTCAGTTTGAATCAGAGAGAGTGAGAAAAGCGTCCGCCAAACTACCAGAAATGTAGTTCTTCGCCATGTCTTATTTGACAAACGCTACCCCCGTGGTCCCCGCCGGTCCGATCGGTCGGAGGGGGCCCCGGTGTGGAGGTGGGCTCCTCATCAAGGAAGGCCTTGAGTGAAGCTCTTTGCAAAACAACAAAAGAGTTGTATGCGACCGAGTCATCTGTAATGTCCTGTGATCGTGGGTTAGGCAAATAGTCCCTCCCAGAGGTGCTCACTGAACACGCCGCAGTGTGTGTGTCTGTATGTGTGTGTGTGTGTGTGTGTGTGTGTGTGTGTGTGCGCGCGCAGTGACCACTTGCCAACAAAATGATTTTAATTGCCAATAAATCAGAGAAAATTGCAATAAAAGCTCTTAAAATGTGACATGGTGTGCATGGTTTTGAGATGGCATGGATATCTCTCCCTCTTTGGGATTTTAGTTATGATTAGAGTCTAATGGTCTTCTCTTGGAGCGAGAAGCTTTCGGTGATTTCTTTTTAGGAAGGTTTCTTATGTGTGATAAAGTGAGAAGAGTATCTGCTTCACGGTCGTGGAGGGTAAATGGAGCCTGCTGGATGAAAAGAAAAGAAAACTTTGTTTGATTATTTTTCTCATCCATTAAATGAGATGTATATAAAAGCTTATGCCAATTCATAATATTTGCACTTTGAAGAACTTCTGTACAGTATGATTTATGAATCTGCTTAATTTTATATGGTGGATAGAAATAAAAGAATTTATCATAGTCATCAAAGTTTTACAACTGGAATTCTTAAATCATCCCAAATGGACAGTTTTTGCACTTTTTTTTATTCTTAAAAATGTTAAAAGTTGTTATTGTGTAACTTGTTTAATCGCTTTCAGAATAATCTGTTTTCTTCTGTTGCACCTGCTCATATCCGACTAAAGCCTCTTTCAGTAATATCAAGGTCTGTCAATAATTAGAGCTCAGCTGCATGAGTTATCCCCCTGAATGATCAGGACTAATCTAGTACAATGACTTTTCTTTGTTTGAACATAAATGAAGTATGAAGATTAAGACATCATAAAAAGTTTTTGATGATCCTTGTAATTAAAGATCCTTGTAATTAAAACTAATTGATTTCTTGCAAAAATGCCAATAAAGCTCAAAAGCCTATCGTTGACGTTTAATGTTGGATTCTGTTTATTTTAGATTTTTTGGGGGTATATGGATATGAAGGCCTCATTCTAAAATAATGTGAATCTACACTCATTAAAACACTAGTTCTAAATATTGTATGCCATTTCTGCTGACACATCTTCTGAAATGCAACACGCTGTGGATTAAATCAGTGGAACTCTCGGGCAAGCTGGTTGGATCCATATAACACTCAGTGGCAAATCGACCTTAACGCAGCTTCAATGTCCATTCTGTGCCGTATTACTTCCTTGCTAACCCGCTGACCTGAGGTGGTGACCGTAGCAAACATTACAGATGCTAAACGTCAACGGGTTGTTGGTGTACTCCGCTCACAGCGCTGCCAGTAGGATCCACTAGATGGAGCCAAACACTGCTGCTTGCGTCTTTGTGGGTTACGTAAACTTCCACTGGCTGGTTTCCTTCTCAGCGGCTCCGCAGCACTCTTTCTTCATAAGGGTCAAAGCCCTTGGGATGACCTCGGTTTAGCTTTTATTATCCGACAAATAAATTCCTTTATATTTAATACACGTTTCATGACTTTTGAGTGAGAAAGTGATTTCTCAGCAGTATCAGTGAGGCATCATTAATAATCAATCAATCATAAAAAGTGTGGAAGTGAGGGGGCAGAGGTGGATCATTCAAATTGATTGGTCTCTGATGACACCTTATTATCAGTTCATGTGTGAAATCTAAAAGTGAAAGTATTCTAAAATATTGATTCAAACTCCTCTCATTTCAGTGGAGATCGGTTGTTTTATTTTTATGATCTACTCTCTCTGGAAGCCAGCTTGGCTACAGTGGCGATTTGTGTCCCATTTTACTCGTGTAGATCTATCAAACTTTAACTGGTGGCGTGGCCTTACCGCTGATCCGAAATCAGCGGCCGCGCTCGGCAGCGTTTGACAAATATAAACCGGAGGCTCTTCAGCACTGCTTTTTTTGCTCCCTGCTAGATCCCCGTGTCCACAGCCCAGTGCCTCAGGCCGTCCGCTGGGGCCTCTCTGCTTCCACAACCAGCAGCTCAGTTTGATGTGAGGAGACACGGCTGGTCGGGGGGGAAGACAAACATGTGGAGTCTCTGTCTCGGCCTCGACATTTAGGTTACACATGATTGGCCACGAGAGAGACAAATGAGACATAATATCTGGCACCATAGTGCCAAACATCTATCTGATGATGGTTGTCTTAGATTTGAACTTTTTAACTAGTTATGTGCAAACTAGGAGTCTACAGGCCTGCAAGCAGCCTTGTGAGTCACATGTACACAGCAGTGTCTTTGAGCTAAATGCTAAAAATAAACTTGAAATCCACTGAAAACACGTTGATCGGGTGTAAAGTTCATTTATTTGCTATTCAGCACTTAACAGTGGGCTCAATTGCGTGTTTCACCACAAGGAGGCACCAGGCGCCCGCGCCCCGCTCACCTACAGGATTGAATCAACCAGAATCTAGTCTAATGGAAATGTTACAGTCTGATGGTTAAGGGTTAATGAGATCACCCATCTTTAAGGTAAACATAGCAAAAAAAAAAACATCAGAGATCTAGATCCAATCCCTGCCTTCTGCGCCTCAGATTATTGGCCAGCTGTGACATCTCCTGGCGGTTGCATTCGAGTGGAGAGTAATAAACAGAAAAACATTGCCACCAATCCGGACCTCACGGGTGAACTGGATAGACCCGACTGGAGCACTGGCCCGGCTGTGAGGAGAGCCTCCGTCCCCGCCGGTGAACCCTCAGAAGCCCCAAGCCGTCTCCTGGCTCCAGCAGACACAGGATTAAAAAAGCCCTTCATTTCATAGTGAGGAAAGCCGCGGTATCACAGAGCGGTGCTGCAGTGAGGGAAGCCCTCCTGCTGTTACGACCGCTTTGAGATTAAGAAGTGAACACCTATCGCTGATATTAGCTTTTAATTAAAGGCCGTGAAACAAAAAGAGAAAGATTGAGAGGAAAGAGGAGCCGTGTTGAACAGAGAAGCCTGTTCACATAATGGCTTTATGTTCCCTACCCGCCTACCCGCCTGCCTCTGGCCCCCAATCTGGCCTCCTCTCTTTTTCAGACGGCATTAATGACTGACCTATTTACATAACTCCCTTCCGGTTTGCAAACGGTTTCCCTTTATGAGGCCTTCTCCTGTCTCGGAGCTCATTCTCCTCTCCCGCTCCCCGCCGGACCAGGTGGAGGCCGCTCAGAGCAAACTCTGTCACATGCGGGAGGAGAAAGACAGCCGGGGGAACAGTGCTGATAATCTCTGTCAACAGCATGTCTGAGGGCCCCCGCTGCCGAGCTACAGCCCAGCGCGCGCGCGCGTGTGTGTGTGTGTGTGTGTGTGTGTGTGTGTGTGTGTGTGTGTGTGTGCGTGTGCGTGTGTGTGTGTGTGTGCTCCACCGTGCTCAGCCACCAGCTCTCCGGTGTGTGTGTGTGTGTTTCTAATGATAGCCAACGGCTCCTCTATAGCCACACTTTCCTGTGTGCTAAATGAAGTAATTTCAGAGCAAAAGTAAATGCAGTGATCAATCAAATGAATAATTCACACATTTGGTCTGACAATTTGTAAGTGCACGGGTTCAAAACCTAGTTGGAAACAGGAGGAAACTTGCAGGCTCTCCAAATAAAAAATAAAATTGACATATCATGAATCTTGAATCTCTACACATATCAAAAGGCAATGGACCACATTTAAATATAGACGAATCTCTGTAGCGATCGGACCCAATGTGACTCTTTCCATGTACAGATATGCGTGTGTGCTTATAATAAAATGTTCTGAAAGCCCTGGCTGCAGCTACACAAGTCACAAACACTGATCTCCTTGAGCAGATCACTGCAAGAAAGCCAAAAATGTCGAACTACTCCTTTAAAGTTTGAGCTGATTATTTCTACAATTCCTCTGGGATTCCATGCGAAGAAAATATTTCCGAACCACCAAGTGAGGAAACGTGTAATCGGCACAACACAACGTCTGCGTGTTCTGCTTCTTTTTGAGTTTTTTTGCCATTGGCATGTTCACACACGCCTCCTTCCTGGAGGAGACACTTGAAACGGCGGGGCCCCGGGCCCCGGCGCGGCTTCCAGGACACGTACCTGTCTGCTGTCGAGTGTCAGACGTGGGGCCTGTGACATTTCAAGAGGCGCGCGGAGGTTCTGTAGTGAAACCTCCAGAGAGGCCTGCAGGTGATCTCTTAAAGGAGAACAAGGCATTTCTCGAGGGCTTGTGAAGAGCTCTCCAGTTGCAGGGTGCCGTATAAGGGATGTGTAGGTGGGTGCGTCCTGCATTGCTGCGTTTACTTTCTTGTAAAATCCTGTAAAGCAACCCCCCCAGCCCCCCCATTCAGGATTAATGACACAGAAAAAGGACTAGATCCACGTCTCTAAAGACACAGTGAAGCGAGTTCAAACGGCTCACTGTTAACTGTTCATTTAGCTCTTGTTGTGTGTTAAATATGTTTCCCCCAAAACAATTAGAAAACAAACAAAATCCTTCTTTCTCCTCCCGTTAAATATGGATGGTGACTTAAACGTAACCTCAGCGCCGCGTATATATTCCAACACCCAATCTCGCCGCGCCTTTTCTCTCTTTTTTTTTTAATGTCTTGTTTGACTTCTGCACCATTTATCCCTTGTTCCCACGTCGCACTGCGTTTCCAACACACGCACACACTGGTGCATCCCAACGTCGGCAAATATTGACATTCTCCCGCGGGGGCCACCTGGTGCACCGGTGGAGGAGTAATATCCCAGACGACGCCACCGCTCATTAATCCGCGCAAAGTCACATGACACGGAGACAGTTGGCAGGGGGGATGTGGGCCTGCGTCGTGTCTCGTCTTCGTGTCTCGTATTCAGCGCAGCCCGGATGACTTCAATGGCAAACAGAAAGGGACCCGCCGACTGCACAGGACTACAAATTTCACTGACAAGAAAGAAGAACTCTTGATTTGTTTGCTAATTAAAAAAACAAATGCAATCTTCTGGCCTCGGTATTCACTGAACCCTCTGGAGTTTTATGCACGGGGGAATTGACCTGATAAGGACATTTGCACCACATGGAACTTGCTTGCTTCTCATTTGCAGTATGCAGCAATTTCCCTCATTGAGTCCTTTGCTCTCATTTTGTTCCTCCGCCGGAGCAGAACTGTGCTCAAGCATGTCATTATTTTCCTCGCCGACGAAAGAGAGTGATGCAAAATTGACTATAGAGAATACTAAGAGCCAAAGTGCTGCAGACGCTGAGTTGTTCACTTATATTACTCACTTAACGGAAATTCACTCTGCTCATAAAAGTCGAGCAGCACACAAACGCCGAACTTCCTTACGGATTCGTTTCTGTGTAACTGAACTGAAATATATGTTGGAATACAAAAACGTCCATCTGAACACAAGCGACGGACCGCTGACAAAAAAATACCGTCCATTTAGTCTCGGCGGAGCGGCTCACTTCATTCCCGCTGACATTTTGGAGCCCTGGGGCTCCTGGAGAGAGACCATCCCTTTAACGCCCGTCGTGTGTGGAGAGCCTTGACGTGCGGAACTCCCGGGGAGCGAGCGACCTCCTCGTGTTTTCACAGTAAACAGCCCCTCCGAAAAAAAACAAAAAGCTCCTGCTCCCTCTCCTCCATCCCCCCGAACAGTGGCCTCCTTTCAGGGCCATCACTTAAGGGCCCTATTAATAATTTGACAAGTTTTCTCAAAGATTAATTACGGACAGTTTTGAGGCCGCAATTATGCAGTGTGGAGAGACTGCGTAAACCTTCTCCGGCTGCGTTTCCAGGCCCAATTTTCCACTTATCAAGATGTCAAGGGGGGGGAGGGGATGTGCGACAGGCCCTGTGATGCATACATCCACGTTAATAAACACCGCTCACTTGCAAATGCTCTCCGGTTCGTTTCCAACGACTGAATTGAGTAGATCTTTTAAGGCCAGGGAGAAGCAACCCTGGACCTGGTTGCATCAGCGTCAGGAAAGGGGCCAAACTTTCACATATGAATCAG